TGTGATTCTAAAATATTGGATGATAAAAAGAAATGGAATGGAATGAAATGGAATTCTTTATTTGCTTGGTGTGACTGATGTTAACTTCATTTCATCTTTCGTCGTTTTATTTCATTTTTAATTAAACCTGGAGCTCGAAGCCTTGCTATTTCTTGAACCCGACTGTCTTGCAGATTGAGCATTACATTCAAGTGGTGAAAACAGAGGTCATGACAAGATCCTATAAATTAGTGGAGGAGTACGAGTACACAGCTCATAGTAGTCTGGTTCACAATTTTGACCTACCTGTCGCAAAGTTTCATATTGTGCCATCAGCAATGCAGGTATTCCAAAACTCCAACCTCATACATGTTAGAATTATTACCAACCATTCTCTCGGTTTCCATTGGTGTTGATGTCTTTGTTTTGCAATCAGGTCATCATTAACGAAAATGCAAAATCCTTCTCGCACTTTCTTACAAATGTCTGCGCTATTATCGGGGGTGTTTTTACGGTTAGTTTTTCTCTCTTCACCCTCCCTGCTGCACACCATTCACACACCTTTTTATTTATTTGTTTTTACATAATGCATTGGTATCTGTACCCTACGGAATAAGACCGATTTAGTTGACCCTGTATTGCTGATGCCTCTTTTGTTTCTCCTGCTGTTTGCAGGTAGCTGGTATATTGGATTCAATTCTGCAGAATACTATGAGACTGGTGCGAAAAGTTGAGCTAGGAAAGAATTTTTAATGTTCTCAAAGTTGAAAGTTCATAACTATACAGACAACTCACTCTAGTTTCAACATATTACATTGTCAAATTACAATAAAAGTTGTAGAATATTTTGTAGTACTCCACATGGTTGGACTTGCAAATTAAAGCCATCCCCAGAAGGGGTTTTTCTTGAGTTTTTTCCTCAGGTAGAGGGGGGAGTTGATAGATTATATTTGCAGAGTGGGTTTCTCAAGTTGGATTATTTACAATTGAAACTAAACTAACAAACTTGTTCGAAATCCTAAGCTCAGCTGCTAACAATAAGGCTGAGAAAATTATTTATATGGAGCGAAACACGGACACAAATGGCTGTGTGAGGCCTATCACATCAAACATGTTTTATTTTTAGTAAAGGTATTACATATCTCATGTGAGATGCTTCTATTCAAAATCAACTGAAAAGTTGGACATTAAAATAATTATTTTATTTCAGTTTAGGTCTTTTAATTATGATTATATATAAAATCATGAGTTGAATTATTTTTAGCATCAATTATTATAATTCGGTATAATTATCACAAGATATAAAAATTTAATATTAAATTATCAAATTTTAAATGTTTAAATATAATTCAAGATATAATACTATTGCGGAGCGTTAAAGTACTATATTATATGTGGCAATATGATTGATTCTTTTTTTTTTTTTTTTTTTTTTTTTTTTTGGTATTTTATTAATGAGTAGATTTTTTACTTTTCAAACCGGAGATGGATTCGGTCAATTGAGTAGTTAATATTATAAGTAGTTTTAATGCCACTTTATCAGGAGGTAAATATTAAGAAGTAACGTCAAAAAAAAAAAAAAAAAAAGCTAATAGGGTTATAGGGCAGTAATAGTAAGCCCAATGAAATAGGTCAAATAGTCCAATATGTTAAAATCTCATCGTCTAACCAATTCGATGAGACTAATCGAATGAAAGAGACTTACACTTGCTAGACTACCCAATAGTGTAGACATCTAAGATGTTCCTCATCAACCACGTGGTCAAGATTAGTTCGGTCGAAATGCCTACACCCGCTAAGCTGCAAGGCTAGCTGGGGGTTGTAGGTTGATGCGCCATTTGATAGGATTGTCGAGTATACCGATCGACCTTCCTTCCACATGAATATGTTATGTCGACCCCACTTGTCACAACCATCATTCTATTAGGTTGGGCCTTAGTATAAATAGAATTCCTACACCTAATTTGAATGATTATCTTCTACACTTTGATAATTGACTGATTACCCCTGACCTTGTATTATTTTTACTAAACTTCTGTATCTTGTATTTAGTCATACTATTTGGAGCCTACCAACTTGTCCTTAGTTAATGAACACATTCTCATTTCCTAGTATTTTATATGGCAATGAAACTCTAGACCCTTATCCCTTGGTCTAATTTATGCTATCAATAAAGTCATCTATGGCGACCCTTCAAATGGTTTCCTAATTTCTACCTCATCACCACCATTTTTCTTAGTCAATTAACCTATCAAATTCGGTCATCTACACAATCATCCCTAGACATCCTATTATCTTTGGTCAAAGAGAACATATCATGTAATTAAGTGTCAAGGTTGTCAGAGAAACTCTTATCTAGTTATTCAAAACCTCTTACTCACCTGATTAGAATTTCATATCAAGTTGGTTGAAACTTCTTACGTAGCTGGTCAGGCCATCTTACTAGTTGGTCAGAACTTTTTATTTGGCTAGTTAAAAATTTTTGCTCCCATGATCATATAACTCTTTTGGACCCATGGTCGAAACTTTTACTTCCATGGTTAGAACTTTTATCCAACTGATCGACACTTCCTATTCAATTAGTCAAAACTTTTTACTCAACTAGTTAAACCTTATTAACTTGTTGAAAATGTTTGCTCCCATGAGCCATGGTTGAGACTTTTTAACTCACACGGTATAATCATTTTACTACCGTGGTAAAAACCTTTGAAACCTTTTGTTCCAATGGTCATAACCTTTTACTCCATGGTAGAACCCTTTACTCTCATGGTTGGAATTTCTTATTTAGCAGGTTGTAACCTCTTACTCAGTTGGTATGAGTGTATGACCTTCATATCCAGTTGGTCAAACTTTTTTATTCAATTGAGTAGAAATTTTCTTAATTGTGAGGGGCACTTGTTATAGTTTTAACGGTTTTCATCTGAATGGACGATGACCTTGTGCTTGACCGATAATTCTTCCCAATGAGGGGCATTTATGCTTAGTTCCCTTTCGTGATTTTTACCTGAATGGTTGATGTGCTCGTGTTTGGCAAGTACAAGCCTATGAGAGAGCACTTGCTTGGTTAGTGCTCTTGAGCTCCATTAGGATCTTAGAACTACATTTTCTCTTCTATTTTTACAAGTTACTAGTTCATGTGATTCCAACTGGTCAAGTTACTAGGCGACTGAGATGCTACACTTCTTATAAGTTCTCAAACTAAAATTTGCCCAAGCTGCGCGACCGAGCAATAAGTACTCCTAATTGAAGTTTTTAAAAAATTTCCAAAGGCATATATGATACTTGGTCAATGTTTAACCAACTGACCAAAACGAGATTATCTAAGGTTAGTTATATGGATTCCATGTCAGCAAAACGGGATCTACATGATTTTTCACATAAGCAAAAATGATGCAAACACCATTACCAACTAGAATGCAATCTCTAATTGAATGACCATTAGTGAAAGGGGCTTGAGAGGATGGTTGTCTGACTATCTCATCTACTTTCTTGTGTTGCCAATTTTTGCACCATAGAAAGTAATAGGCTTATGATGGAGTTATATGGTAGCCAAATTAATCCAATAAAGAGTAAGCCCAATGGAATAGGCCCGATGAGTTCGATTCGTTAAGACCAACTTAACAATACTAACTAGGTGGAAGGGCATGTCGACCTCACTTGCCACATATCAATATTCCATCAGGCTGGATCTCAAGTATAAATAGACCTCATCTATCTAACTGAAAGATCATCTTCAACACTTTCATTCAATTCGTCAAATTATTTTTGGTCCCTTGTATTCCAATAGGAACACACCATGTCGACCTCACTTGCCACATATCAATATTCCATCAGGCTGGACCTCAAGTATAAATAGACCTCATCTATCTAACTGAAAGATCATCTTCAACACTTTCATTCAATTCGTCAAATTATTTTTGGTCCCTTGTATTCCAATGATCCCTAATTCACAGTTGACATCGGGGGGGGGGGGGGGTGTGCATTTGATGATCCAGAAAAATATAGGAGATTAGTCAGTAAGCTAAACTACCTGACTGTAACCCGTCCTAATATTGCTTACTTAGTCAGTATTGTAAGTCAGTTTATGGCATCTCTAACTGTTGACCATTAGAGAGCTGTTGAACAAATCTTGAACTACTTGAAAGGGGCTCCAGAGCATGGAATTGTATATCAAAACCATGGACATATGAAGATTGAGTGTTTTGCAGATGCAGACTATGTAGGGTCTAAGGAGAATCAGAGATCTACTACTGAATTTTGTGTCTTCTTTGATGGGAACTTGATCTCGTGGAAAAGCAAGAAGCAGAATGTTGTATCACGATCGAGTGCAGAGTCAGAGTATAGAGCAATGGCACAAGCAACCTGTGAAATCTTGTGGATATATCACATTCTAAATGAAATAGGATTCAAGGCCCCTATTCCTGCGAAGCTATGACGACAATTAGACAGCTCTCCATATTGCAACCAATTCTGTCTTCCATGAACGAACCAAACACATTAAAGTGTATTGTCATTTCATTCGTGAAAAGATACAACGAGGCTTAATCTCAACAGAGTTTGTGAAGACATGAGAACAATTAGGAGATCTTTTTACAAAAGACATGAATGGACCTCGATTAGATTACCTATGTAACAACTTAGACATGATCAATATCTATGCTGCAACTTGATGAGAAGTGTTAAGACATTATATGGTAGGAATATATTTAACATGATCATTAAAATTCTGTACATATTCTTAGAGATTTATTTCTGATCTTTACCTTAGTATGTATATTCTTGGAGTTCTCCATTTGACATTGTATATTATATTTCATTAATCTTCTCATATTCTAATCTCTTATTTCATTATCTCATAGCATTTTTCTTAATAATGATGTATGTGTGGAAGAGGTTGAACGAGTGAAGTTATCTACTTTTCTCCCCTCAAGCCCTTCAAACGACCCTGGACTGTGTCAGCAAATTAAAGTTGACATTGACCAGACTAACTGCGTCTCGGATACGCTTAACCATTAGCGCGTCATCCAAACTCCAAAGTTTATTGAGTCTCCTACCCGCGAAAAGATGGTGGTCGTTGACTGTGGAGACGGTTAATGGTTTTGTGTTGGATTTGTTATGTTGCCACCTTCGCCACCTACTAACACCGCACCACCGCCACTGCCCATAACTACCAACATCTTTATTCAGCTACCATCACTCTTTCACCATTACAAAAAGTAAAAATTAAAAGGAAAAAAGAGATCTTTTTTCTTTCTTTTTTTATTCAATATTCTCTTTGGTTTGGAAGGGTCTCTTGAATCTCTGTCAAGAAGCCTGCTGAACTGCCAACGAAGAGGCGCGGTGATCTGGGCCCCCCATTCTTGATTCTTCTTCTGATCTGGGCTCAGGAGTTGCAGCTAATTGCTGGGATTGGAGTCTCTGTGTATTGTTCTTGTAGATACTTTCAGTAATGTGGAAGGACCTTGGAGATTCTGCTACTGATTCATTCTATGAGGTCCGGCCTCAATGCACGGATGTTCCCAAAACCAAGTTTAGAGTCAAGGTTTGCATTTTCCTTTCCAAGAATTAATTAAGAACTGAGATTGAAGAACTTGTATAAAAACAATTGAGGTTTATAGATCATGCCTTCACAAGTTCAGAGTTCTCATAATCTGAAAAAAGTGTTTGGTCTGTAACAATTGCATCATATGGGAACTTTTCTGGTTTTAGGGGACAATTAATTTCATTTTTGGCTATCATGAAGTTTTTTGCTTTGGTTAGTAAAATGTTAAATTTTGTGTTGAGTTATAGTAAGGCAAATTGTTTGTAATTTATTTTCTTTTGCACACTGCTGTGAACTTTAAGCTAATTTTGCAAAAAAAGAGAGCGGAGTTGATTCCTTGTATACCACTCCGGACTTAGCTTAATTTGGGGAGAAAGGGAATTATTTACTAAAAACAGAAGTAAAGTGAGCATGACGAAACACTGATCGGACCATGATTTTAGAAGTTAGGGTCTTTCTCTCTTTGAAGGAGAGTTCATTGATTGGTCTATTTGTAACTTTTTATTAATAGATGTGTCCTTATTGAGAATCAAAATTTCACAATTTGGTAAAGCCTATCTCACAATCTTGGAAGTGCACACTCGACAAAATTATGAAAATATGCACATGTTTGAAACCTGAAATATGAGAACCCTTTCTATTAAATGGATAAATTTTATCTTTTAGATTCTAGAAACTATGTATTTATGCAGATGTCATCTTTGGAATCGGATCTATCGGTATCCTCACTTTTTTACTAGGATAATAAACATTAGGAAGGCCATGGCAAGTGAATCAATTTGTGTGAACCCTTAGTTGAATGATTTCACGGTACTATTAATAAGGTGTTCTCTTTTTTTTTTTCGGATAAATATAATATATATTGGACGATGTGTGTCTGGAAAATCATCTGAATCCCGTTGTGGTAGTTTATAAGCTTTCGTTATTGCATATATCTTTTCCCACTGGCTTTGTTTATTATTCTACATTGCTCTACTGAAGCTATCTATATCTACTTGTTCAGGCTGGGAAAACCCTAAGTTCAAGGAGATGGGAAGCTTCATTTACTCCAGAAGGTTATCTCAATATTGGCAAAATACTTAGAAGAATTTATCGTGGGGTGAGTTTTAGATCATGGTTAGGAAATTGTTTCAGATTTATTCTGGAAAAAAAATATTGGTAAATACATTTTGTTTGATTTTAACAATTCTTCTAGAGTGCATCAAGTTAGCATTATATTTACTATCAATATTTGTGACTACATAGGGGATACATCCCTCAATTAGAGGTGAAGTTTGGGAATTTTTACTGGGTTGTTATGATCCAAAAAGCACTTTTGGAGAACGAGATCAGATAAGACAACGTCGGAGGTACACTGTCTTCCTTACAATTTTGCCTTGGAGGGAATTATTTACTGTTTACCATACAAAGGGATTTTTGACTTTTTGACTATTCTTAATTCCATTCGATCTAATTCTCTTGGGGAATGTTGAATAAATAGCTTCCACTTTTAGCAAAGAAAGATAGATGCTTGAACCTTAATTTTGTGTGTGTGTGTATTAAGCCTTTTATCATGGGATTTTGAACATGATTTATTCTTGTGTTTGCTATTTTCTGGCATTGAATGGATTGAAGGATCTGAAATGTAAAAGTAGATGCTAAAGTCTTCTAACATAGTGGAATTCTTGGCTGCAATGTTAAAAGATTTCACGAGTTTCAAATCTGTTACTGTTGTCGTAATTTGTTAGTTAGTGCAATTTTCTTGTGTCTGTTTCCAGGGAGCAGTATGCGGTATTGAAAGAAGAATGCCGCCAAAATTTTTCCATGATTGGAAGTGGCAGATTTATTACTGCACCTGTAATCACAGAGGATGGTTATCCTATTCAAGATCCTTTAGTGCTTCAAGAGGCAAATAAGGCCCAAAGGCCAACCGAGAATGGTAGGGGTGGAGATTTCATGCTCTGCTTTTTTTTTTTTTGGTCATGCCATGAGGTGTTCTGAGCAGGCCCTAACTGTATGAGGCACCTTTAAGCCTGTACCATACTCAGACTAATCCCCATTTGCACCGGGCCGGCCCAATTAAGGGGCAAAGTGCTGGCCAGATTGGTTTTTCCATACGAGAGGGGGTTCGAACTCCTGACCTCTCTTAAGGGATGAGAGTGCACGGCCACTCACGCCAACCAAGCTGGTTTCATGCTCTGCTTTTGATGTGTGTATAGCTTCTAGTCGATATTTTGTGGATGTGTGTGCACTTTCAGTGACTTGATTTTTAAATTTTTTTAAAATATATCTGAAAGGGTTGGAGATGGAACCAGTGACCACCTATATTGAGTCACAAGCTTATCCCTCTCGACCAGAAGGTCTTTGGCACTTGCAGTGATTTGATGCTAATGCTTTTAACCTTGAAATTCAGGTTCTTTGAATGACCCAGAAGTGGTGAAGGAAACAGATCAAAGAATAGTTGAGTGGAAACTCACATTGCATCAGATAGGTTGTTTTTCTGCAAATATAATATGATTTCTTGTTTTGTCTTCCCCTTTCTACTCATTAAGTATTTATCTAGGTTCAAGTTCTCCTCCCACTCTTCTGCCCATTTCATTTTAACTATTTATTTGATTTGCAATTCAAGAATGATCGATATACTACTTATGAAATCATTCTTACAGCTTATTTCTTTTCTTTCCTTAATTGATGGTGTCTTTGGTTATGTCTTGTAACATTTCATTGTCGGATTAATATCTATGATAGGTCTTGATGTTTTTCGGACGGATAGGACACTAATATTCTATGAGAAACAAGAGAATCTTGCAAAACTTTGGGATATTCTGGCCGTTTATGCCTGGTTTGACAAAGATATTGGCTACTGTCAAGGTGTGTCTACCAACTCTTGCAATATTTTCTTCACCTTTGCCCCTCAATTATTGTCCAAAGAGTGTTATTGCACATACCCGATTCAATTTTGTGAGCACAGAGAGTGTCTTTTATGGTTTTTGCAATTTCTAGTTGTTTTAAAGATATATACTCTGCCAAAGACCTTGTTGTCAAGCGGCATAACTGTGGTCACAGGTTCGAACCCCAGTGGGGGCATTGAATCTTTGTGCTTCAGTAGGTTGAGAAAGTATGTATGAATAGATACTACATTGTAACAGAGTCAGTAGTACTCCCCAAAAAAAAAAAAAAAAAAAAGATCATATACTCTATGCATATTCTCAACGAGAAGAGTCTAGCTAAATAACATGATGTGTATTAGTTTAAACTGCTTGTATCTCAGTCGTTAAACATATTGTTAGTGGATAAAATTCTACCCGTAAACTTAGTATTCATTTCTACAAGTATTTTAATTCGCATGTTTATATATGTTATTGTTGCTGCTAAGTTTGACCTTAAATATGGTGAGCAGGTATGAGTGACCTTTGCTCCCCCATGATCATTCTTCTTGAAGATGAAGGGGATGCGTTTTGGTGCTTCCAACACTTGATGCGTAGACTGGTAGGTATAAGTACATGCATTTTACATTCTTTGACAAACGGTTAACGCCAATGAGTTTTCCCATGTACTGTATGGCTTAATGGCGCTAGAAGCCTTTCTCTTGGTAGCCATAATTGGAAAGTAAAGTAATTATCTGAAGCTCAATTGCTACCATTAGAAACTTCAAGTTCTCGTTAGTTGAATAGCTATCGATCCTATTGGATGTTCTATATGGTCGTTCTTGTTATTAGAAAAACACTTTTAGTTGCTTATGTGTGTGGTTATTGGGAATTTTGAAGCGAGGAAATTTCAAATGCACTGAAAGATCTGTGGGAGTAGAAATGCAGCTTAGTAATCTGGCCACAGTTACCCAAGTTATTGATCCTAAACTCCATAAGCACTTAGGTATGCATTTCTCTAAATGTTTTCGTGTTTTTTTCTTTATAATTCTTAAAATTTTCTTTTTGGCTGCTGCAGAGACCTTAGGTGGAGGTGATTATCTGTTTGCCTTCAGAATGCTTATGGTTTTGTTCCGTCGTGAATTTTCTTTTGGCGATTCATTGTTTCTATGGGAGGTAAGATTGAATCTCTTTTCCAATTCCATTAGTAATGGAAATCTGGCGGTTTTCATTCATTCATTCTTTGCTTGGTCGATGTTGAACAGATGATGTGGGCGCTAGAGTACGATCCAACGCTGTTCTTGCTGTATGAAGATCCTGAATCATCATCTAACGAAAAATCTGAAGGATCAAAAGGGAAAACAAAGACAAAAAGCGAGTATGGGAAATACGAGAGAGCATACATGAAAAATGCAGGAAAAAATAATTCAGTGGCTCCCCTCCCGCTCTCTGTTTTCCTTGTTGCCAGTGTCCTCAAAGAAAAAAGCCCCAAGCTGTTGGCAGAGGCTCGGGGACTGGACGACGTTGTTAAGGTTAGCTTCGTGTGTGTTATCTCACATTAAACGCAGTAAACGTTTACCACATAACACTCGTGTCATTCCTGCAGTTGGTATATATATATATTGTCCATTGTAGTATTTTTTCTGTATGTGAATTGATCCATCCTAACATGGGATTCATATTTCGTCATCATTTTGCAGATACTAAATGACACAACGGGCAACCTAGACGCGAAAAAAGCATGCAATGGCGCGCTCAAACTTCACAAGAAATACCTTAAAAAGGTGAAGTAGATCAGATGTGGAAGGAATTCTGATTGTGAAATAAACACAGAAACATGAACCTAATACTGGAAATCTTTAGAAATGGTACATAGCAAAATCTTCTTGTTTTTTTTTTTTTCTTTTTAATATTATGGATAAAGTTTTTACAATGTATTTGCATCAACTATTGTATTTTACTATTTTTGTATATGAGATGAATCATAACACACACACACACGTAGTGTGAGTCAACTCTACATACCCGTTTTATGTTGTAATGCAAAGACCCTCCAATTGAAACGCTATGTTTAACTCCCACTGACCCTGTTTGGTGGTAAAATAATTAGTCTATAGGTCAATAATTAATATAAGTGTTTGGACAGTTATCAGCTAACACTTTCTATAATCAGTTAATGTTATTAATTAGTTATACTCTTTAATTAACTTAATTAACTAACAGCTAACCATTATCAGTTAACAACCATTGGGCCAATACCCCACATTTGTTAGCTAGGAATAGGGGTGTAAACGAGCCGAGCTCGAGCATGGGTTGGCTTGAGCTCGAGCTCGATAAACATGGTTCGGCTCGAGCTCGATCGAGCTCAAAAAATGATACTCGAGCTCGAGCAGCTCGATTGTTCAAGCTCGGGCTCGCTTTTGACCTATTTGTATTCATATTTCAATTAATAATAAACATTGTTTTATCCATACATAAATAACAAAAACTTTAAAAAATTTAAAAGTCCAAACTTCAATGTTTAAAGACTCCAAACACTCAAAACAAGTTTACAACTCCACTTTAATTACAAGTCAATAGTAGACATTGATCCTTACCATATATATAATATTTATCTATTTATTTAATTATAGATCGCGAGCGGCTCGACGAGCCACGAGCTTAGAATATTTGAGCTCGAGCTTGGCTCGTTTAATAAACGAGCCGTTCGAGTTCGACTCGAGCTCGATTTTGACCGAGCTCGAACAGAACTTTGACCGAGTGGCTCGCGAGCCGCTCAACTCATTTATACCCCTAGCTAGGAAGCCTGATTTTAGGCCTGAACGTAGGCAGTGGGTCTCTTCCTCTCTTCATGTTCTCTGTAATGTTCTGATTGATAATATGAATTAAAAACTTTTTTTTTTTTTTTTAACACTAAAGCCGACAGAAAGTAGGTACGATGAGCACAAGTACATTATAGAGTAGATGTGATGTGATAACCGACTAAAAATTTAAGGATATATTTATTCATTGATGTCCTTCATTTGATTACGCAGACCAACATACCCATGTCTTAAATCTAGTCTAGCATAATAATTAAAACCACTCGATCTGCTCCCTCTGTTTCTTCTAATGAATTAAGCATCCACTACCTCTGAATCATCAGCCGCAGCCATTATGAGCTGTGGGTGAATGCTTCCAACCTCATCACCATCAATAGCATTAGCCATTCCTAGAGATTTCAGTGCCAAATGCGCCGCCTTCTGCCCTGATACCATCATCGCTCCAAACGTCGGTCCCTGCATCACATCATCATCATTTTCAACTAAAAACATTAGATTTTGGGACAATCCAATCAAATTTATCAGTCCTTAGCTTTTAACTTTCTAATCACAAGATTGATTACTACTGAAAACTGAACTTTCTTAGTTTGAGCAGATCAGTTATAACACAGATTAAATCTTACCATTCTTGGTGCTCCATCGATTTCAGCGACCTCCATGCCGGTGACAATCATCCCCGGCACGATTTCTCTAGTCAGCCTTACGATTGCGTCCTCCGCCGTGTTCATATCCAAAGCTTTCATCCCGGGGACACTTTCAATCATGCCGATGCTCTTAAGCCTCTTGACTCCGGTGGCCCCGAAGGGGCCGTCGTGGCCGCAGGAGCTGACCACCACTTTGGCCTCCATCACGTTGGGGTCCATGCACGACTGCGTGTCGTGGTTCATGGACACCAGAGCCCAGTTGGTGACCACGCCGCCCACTCTCCCGCCCTTCACTATCAAGTCCTCCGCCGCCACCGCGTTGAACAGCTTCACGTTCGGCCTGCTTAGAAGCTTGCTCATGATGGTCGACGTGAAGAGCGCCGCGTGCTTTATCACCACGTAGTTGTCTTGCTCGTCGTACTCCACGCCCAGCTCGTCCAGGAACAGATGAGCCGGCTTGCGAACCACCATGGCGGAAAACAGCTGCCCGCCCAGCCATGCCCCCCCGCCAGGGCTCACCGATTGCTCTATTATCGCCACCTACACACGATTAGGTCAGGTCACTCAATTAAACTATAATGCACATAGTCAAACCACACTAAAAATTGAATTCAACCAATTAGCTAGTCTAACACATGAACTAGACTATAATGCACATAATCAAATCATACTAAAAATTGAATTCAACCAATTAGCTAGTCTAACACATGAACGTACCTGAACGTTAGGGTTCTTACTGAGCTCATAAGCGCAAGAGAGGCCAGCAGATCCAGCGCCAACAACAATGACATCGGTATCGGCGTAGGTGATCATGTCCGTCATGTACCGCCTGGTCATCTCCCGAGAAACAATGGACTCCTTGATGGGTTCGAACGTGAAGCTTTTGAGATCGTAAGGAGGAGGAGTGGAAGCAGAAGCAGAAGAAGCGGACATAGAGATAGCCATGTTTCTGGAAATGGGGGATTTAAGGGGTTGTGTAAAAGACCTTGCAGGTTGTGAAGAGACGGCAGGGGTTCCATGGAAGAAGGATTTATGAGCATCCAAGAAAGAGGTTTTGGATACTGAGGAAGAAGCGGCCAAGGTAGAAGCCATGGTTGCCATCAAATCAAAACTTGAGAGAATGGTTGGAGATTGAGTGGAAAGTAGAGTGTATTTAAGGAAGGAGATGAAGGTGAGGTGATTGAGAAAATATCTGATGGATGGCCTGGTCAGCAAGGACACGTGTCAAGGAGAGGATAGGAATTGAAGGGCTTAAAATGGTGAATCATGAAGGTGGTGAGTTTGTCCGGTTCTACGGGGCAAGGTGGATTCTCGAATCGTAACCATGGTCAGAAAGGAAATTCAAGCCGGTCGAGTTTAATTCAATGGTTCTGGTAGACAGAAATTCAAAATGAATTCTAATGTTATAATGGTTTTTGAAATTGGAGTAAAGAAAGAAATGCGTTTCTCAGAAACGCGTGTCATGAATATGATAGCATATTATCGTAAAATAAAATTTCTTGTGTAAATACATGGTATAATAGAATTGTATAATTCTTCCAAAAGGCTGAACCCCAACCCTAAAATAGAATTGTATAATTCATTATATAATATGATGGTATAAAACTAGTTATGGTATAATATGATCGTTCGTATCCAAGGTTTTCATCTCCATGGCCGGGCCGAAGACCAAGTCTCCTTCGTCTCCGGTCAGTCATGGAGGTTTTTTTTTTTTTTAAAAAAATTAAAATAATTATTTTATTTATATTTATTATAATCAAATTTAAAAAATTATTTTTAAATAAAGGAACCAACATGTCAACACATTAACAAGTAAACAAGTCATTTTAAATTAAATTGTATGAATTTGCATTGTTCAGGTATCTAATTGTAAATTTTTGAGTTCAATAGCTTAATTATAGTTTGATGTGTAGTTGGATGACCTATTTGACCTTTATTCTAAAAAAGAATGATATTGTTGTAGTATGGAATGAAATAATGTTTAGGAAAAATAAATCCTAAGAATGAATTGTTGGAAAAAATAGCTTAAAATGGCATATTAAGTGACTATTTTGTGGTACAATTATCAGTGGAGTTCACTCTCGATTTGGGTCGGGTCAAAGTGGATTCGTGTTCTTCGTAGTGGGATGAAGAGATCGGTATATGTTATGCTCAAAATGGATAATGGATAATGAGATATTGATTCTCAAAGTAGACCCATTTGAGTTGGAAAATGAAGAGAAAAGTGAACTTTTGTCCCACATTGGTTTGGAAATGGGATTTACCCCCCTTTTATACAAGAACTAACCCTTTTGGAGCTTGTAGAATTGTATAGCATAGAGGCTCTCTCGCTCAAATTCCAACTGAAAATGAGATTGGAAAGGCACGAGAGTCATCTGGAAAATGTTGAATGCTACCCTCCAAAAGCCTATTTTACACACAACAAGAAATTAAGGAATTCTAAGTACGTTTTTAGCTTGCAAAACTTTGCTTCTACTCTCTTTCTTTAAGCCAAATGTGTTCTTGTTTTGCTTTGTTTGCCGGGTTCTTTGTTTGGGTGCTTAAACAAAGAATCGCAACACGTTTTATCCTGAGAACAGGCCTATATAAAGAGAGGTAGGGCAGAAGTATTTTACACACAATAAGAAATTAAGGAATTCTTAGTACGTTTTTAGCTTGCAAAACTTTGCTTCTACTCTCTTTCTTTAAGTCAAATGTGTTCTTGTTTTGCTTTGTTTGCCGGGTTCTTTGTTTGGGTGCTTAAACAAAGAATCGCAACACGTTTTATCCTGAAAAACCTAGGCTGCAACGCTCCTAGCACTTGTGAGATGTAGCAAATAAGCTTTTAAGAAAACGAACAATTTGTTTAAACTTGTGCTAACTTCTACTCAAATTTTTCCGCCTTATTACCCAACATGAATTCTCAAAAAAAAAAAAATAATAATAATAATAATAATAATAATAATAATAATAATAATGAATGATAGCTAATCAATCAATTAGTCATGTATTCTGCGTGTATGGGTAGTTGTTAGTAAATAGAGAAAAGTGCATTGAGATTATTGCTTATCATTGTTTTGTCCACTACGCAAAAACTTGCCATATTTTATCTACTTTTTAAAAAAAGTTTCCAACCCAAGTTATGAGTCTACCGGGCATGCAGGCTTCACTTTTTGGTGTACCAAACAATCTCGTGATGGAAAGAGCATCCATTCATATCTTGTTTTTTAGGCTGAAAAGTGTGATGGGAAGAGCATCCATTCATCATCTTTTGTCGCTTTCAACTTAATTGCCCTTTCTTTCTAACAAAATATCTGCATTGCTTTTATTGGAATTGTATGTATCCTGTAAGCTTAAATTTGAATTATTTTGAATCGGAACCGTCCAAGGTAATCACTATTCACTAACATTCTTTTTTTTTTTTTTTTTTTTGATATAACTACTGACTAACATTCTTGGCACCATAAAAGCAACTTATGGAAGCTGGGTTTTATTTGATGATATGATACAACAACTACGAACAACGATTATCCAAATATACTTGTTTATACAAATTTTATAATAACGTAAACACACAAATAGAGTACTAATTATCATTATAAAATCCTCAACTGTTAATGATTGTTTCTCATATAAACGCCAATTTATATTATGAACTAAATTTACATAATATTGTAGATGAACTAAACAACGAGGTACAAAATTTCATAACGCAAGACTTAAAAAATCACCATAAAACACATACACATGTTATATATTTATTTACTTTTCAAATCTGATTTAGATACATAATTTGTGTTCATAGGCACAGAATTTTATACACATAACACAAAAATTCATAACATAAGAGCATCCTCAATAGTTGAGGATTTTATCCCACATTTTTGTGGGCCCCAACATCCACCTCATCATCCACTATCTAATTCAATCACAAAATCTCTTCTTCCCATTAGTTTTAAACTTTTTCACAACTTTTGGTGGACCCACCATTTTATCTCCATATTTTAATTATTTCTTTATTTATTTGATTTATAATTTTATAATAAAATAAATGAATAGTAAAAATTGCAAGCTTTCATTTCCAAAATTACAATTAAAATAAACATAGTAAATAAAATAAAAAATAAAAATTAGGAGTAAAATGTGTGAAAGATGTTCTATTTAATTTTTTTGAGAATAAAATAATAATTATTAACCAAAAAAAAACACTATTGTGTGCCGTTGCAAATTGCAACGGGAAAACACAAAATGGCCGAAAATGGCCAAAGTAACTAATTTCAGAGTGGCCGCCAGTTCTGAAACGCCCTGGCGGGCGCATGTAATACACGCGCCCGCTAGGCTGAAGGGTGAGACGCACCTGCGTGTCTCACCCTTTATTTATTTATTTATTTTTTTAAAATTTCTGACATGAGTTCTCCTCTTGCAGGAGAAAAATGTGATGAAATTTTGCCTTTCCTATTTGTCAAAATCCAACCCAAACTAATTTTACTGTTCTAAAATGTGGCAAGATTCCCTTATTGGGATGCCCTAAGACACAACTACTAATTTGTTTCAAATACAGAATTTATACTCCTAATAAAGTACTCCATAAGGAAAAAATATATTTAACTAAGGGCGTGTTTGGTTCGCACATAGGAATCGAAATTGGAATGGGTATCAAATACTTGGTAATGAATTTTGGTGAAAGTATTTAACATGTTTGGTAGTATGGTGGAATGAGAATGGTTACTAATAGTAGTGCTTGAAAATGAATAAGGGAATGAAACCCTTATTCTATTTGGGTATGGGTTTTTTAATTGATGGGGTATTCGAAACTCATAGTGGTGTTCTAAAAACCTATCAACCAAACAACAACAATCACTTTCATACCCATAGGAAAACCCACCAACCAAACACACCCTAATAAATAATAATAAACATAATAGGCAAATTTAGACATGGCGTATATATTAAAGCTAGCATATCCTGGTTCACAGTTGTGATTTGTGTTTAGACTCTGACCCTGTACACATTTTTATACCATAATTTCCATGCGAAAATCTATTTTAGATTTTTAGCCAACAATTACAAAAAAAAAAAAAAAAAAAAAAAAAAAAAAAAAAAAAAACAAAGTTAATCGACAACCAATCTTTCTCCAACGACAAGAAGATGGTAGGTATCATCATTACTTGCAAATAGACGAAGAGAATAATATCCCATAACACAAACACGCTGTCCAATAGGTAAACAACACAACTTTTTCCAAATCACTAGAACACCAAAATGTAACTATTATTCAGATAGGAGTTTTCAGCACAAAGAAAACAAATGGTAACTAGGATGCTGATGGCGGTCAGATCAGAAACCATGAATTTTGATGTGTTCCTTCTTCACAATTCCAGCCTGTTTCCAATTTCAAGGAACTTATCAGTTGAAGAAATTTATGATAGAGTCGGGAAAAAAGCCACAACCCCAAACCCCAAATCAAACCATTCATCAAAGCTCCTTATGATATGCACAAGTGATAAAGAACTAAACAAATGAATGAGAAGAGCATCAGAATTCTCATCAGCCTGTGATTACACCTTCAAAAACAGCAGGTAATCAGAGAACTAATTTTCACAAGACTGGATTGCCCTCAGACAAGCCAAATGAGTGTAAAGTAACTAATAGTAATGAACCATGTGCCTGAACTAATGATGGTTGCCTAGCCTAACTGACCACCTTGTCCCTCAAGAGCATGTACTATATCCGCAAGCATTATCTAAGTCATTGAAGATTACCTGGACAAGGAAGGTAGACACATTCTTCCGCTGGTCACCTTGAAGTTGAATAACCTAAAAAAAAAAAATGTTCATAAGGTTGATTAGCAACAACACTGAGATCATTATTATTACTTATGCTGATCAAGAATATATATATATATATATATATATATATATATATATATAATCAAACAAATTACATAAATATTAGTGCACCTGGCCTAGTTCAGGGTCCTGAACAACGGTTCCATTGCAGCAAAATTCTTTCTTAAGGTCCTTCAATATTTTATTATAGCTGAATTCTTTCTTCAACCCCTGCACAGTTGTCAAGCTTTTCCTACCATTTCGCTGCTGAACACGAATGTGCACATAATCTTTTGACCCAGCACCAGAATTTTCAGCATTTCCCTCGGCAAAAGGATCTGAGCGGAAAAAAAAAAAGCACCAATATGTCAAGCACATATAATGTAAAAAAAAATAAGAGTATCACTTAAAACTCAATGTGGCATTGGTGGCAATATAAATAACATAGAATAGTATCCTTATTACTCTTTTACTCAACTTGATACCACCGAAGTCTATACTGTCCATTCTAAAATTACGTGAACAATTAATACTCGGTATATATTTTTCACCAAATACAGTTTAAGTTCTTAAATGCAAAAGTTTTTGCCACAACAAATGGATATGGGAGTAAAGAAGACTGTACCAAAAGTGGAGGGAATCTGGAGGTCGAGATCGGACATGAAAATTGGCTGATAACTGAAAGGCGCTACACACACAAACAAATCTCCTGAGCTAATCTTGGATTCTCAGGCCTAGAAAGAAAGGGAAAATTTTGCATCAGTATTTTCAGAAGCAAAAATTATCCAAATTCACATGCATATACAAACTATGAAACAAATTTGAGAAAACAATAAATAGATTGGAATTGCAAATAAACTAATCAAATTTATTAGTTACACAACATAAAGTAATGATCTGTATAGCCTCACTAACATCCACGCCATAAACCATGACATAGAACAAAATTTTGAAGGTTCACACATAAATTAGGGTTGACGTGCTGGAAAGAAAGTAAAAAACTCACAAAATAACCTATATATCAATCTAAATACACAGCAGACCCCTCTCCTAGAACACACACAAAAGAAAACCCAAAGAGCAGAAAATCGGAATATACGTTGAGTCCGGATTAAAAAGCAGTTTTAGACCTTCAATTTCACAACCTCACACACAATTAAACCCAAATAACTGAATCAATCAGGGAAAAAACTGCGTCAAATAAACACAGGAGCTACCAGTTACATATACGAAGAAGTTTCATTCCACTTACTATATAAAAAAAAATAAAAAATAAAAAAAAATAAAAAATAAAAAAGAGAGAGAGAATAGCGGCTTTAAGATCAGATCGAAAATGAAATAAATAAATATTTAAACATCGATGTATCAAAACTGAAATCCAGTTAGGAAATTGAAGGCAATAAACCCAAATCAAAACCGACGGCAAACAAAATCATGAAAACTATCAGACAAAAAAGAAAATCATTAGCACGCAGAAGAAATTGAAATTACATCCGATATCTAAAGCGAAACATAACCGATCGTTCTAGGAAATTAGTGAATCGAACAGAAAGTTTAATTAAACTCGGATCCGCTAAGATCCATCCGTATGCGTACCTGATCGGGACGTAGGGTTCGGTGGGGAGGGAGAGATGGCGGAGAGTGACGATGGAGCAGACCCTAGATCCGGATAAGGCTGAGAGAGAAAAGTAGTGTGAAACGCCCACCGATTGCTACTTGCTACGTGTGCTGGTTTAAGCTGCATCGATATACTGTAAAACGCCATTGTGAGTAATTATACGCTGCATGATGGAGCAGCTTGCATACGTGCTCTTTCTCATTTTTATTGGACATTTTAAGTAGATGGCTAATTGTGACAAACAAGGTAAAAAAATTTACAACACAAGATAAACTCAAATCAAAATAAATGAACAAATAAATAAATAATGTAAGTGTATAAAGTAAAGATCACCATATTTAACTTAATTCAAAAGAAACAAAAACTCCCGTTTACACAAAATTTATCTATTTAAACAAGCAATTATCTTGAAATAAGTCTTGTATAAGATCGTTTTATTGTAAGACGATATAAAAGTATTACACTTCAACTAAAAAGTATTATATGTTTCACGTGAAAATAATCTAATACAAGACTTACTCTTTATTTACTTACTCCTTATATTGGGATCCCTCAACTTAAATTTATTTTTATTTTTCTCTTTTTATACAAATAAAATTAATGTGTAAAAAAATCATTAATAAGCTCTAATTGAGATATTTTAAATGACATTTATATATATTTTTATTTTTAAAAAAATAAATCTATAAATACATAAAATCATTACTTTAGTGTAATGTTTAAGTACATTTAACCTTATTTTTATGAATATATAGAAGAAACATTATGAACTTACTACACACTAAATGAAAAATATTGAACTTTATTTTTATATAAATGTATAAAATGAACATTATGAACAAACTACAAAGTGAGTAAAAATAGATATGATATACCTACAATTTAATATTTATGTATATTAAGATTTATATTTATTAACTTATAAAATAAATAATATAAACATAGTATATAATAAATATTATTAAACACAATACATTTATTGGCGTTAAAAACTTAATATGAGCATATCCTTAGTAGTGTAATTTTTTTGCGATTTTCGAAAAGTTTGGTGTAACTAGGAAAGAAATAAAATGTGGGAGAAAAAGAAAAAGGAAAATAAAATTTGACAACATTTAAAAAAAAAAAACATTAAAAGTTGTTTAAAAATCAGAGTAGCAGCCACTGACACGTCTCAGGCGCGTGGGAAACACGTGCCTGCTAGGGCGGCAGTGCGCGGGTCTTTTTTTTAAAAAATTCCTAACAAAATCTCTTGTTTTGCACGGCGAAAAACCAAGCCAAAAACCATATTCCACATCTAAAAAAAACCAACATTCAGTTTTTTGAGTTGACAAAAACCAAGAAATAACCACTGCGGATACTCAAACGATGTCAAGGTCCCACGATATAAATTGCACCTCATTAATACCTGCATGAGTCGGCGTTTATGCATTGCTATTCTTATTTCTCATTTAAGCCTAAGATCTGGTTGGAGACAGCAAGTCAGAAACCCTTGGGATACTTGATAAGAATGCATTGAGCTTTCACACAATTGATGTTTCTGGACCCACCATGTTTAGCTATGTCATTAACAATGCTGTCTAAATTCTAAAATTGGACAGTATACCAAAATGGTTCAGGCTCTAAAAGAGATTCAACAAAAATTAAGTTTGATCCTGTATGAATATACTTGCTAAAAGTAGTTCTTTTCTCATTATACAGATAATTAATCGGGTGTAATACAAACAAGTATAGCAGATAACACCTAAGCACCACAACTGTAAACTCTTTTCATACCATAACTACCAGTCTACCAGCCAACTGAAATGCTAAAAGTACAAACTCATCTTCCAGTTCAAAGATTGTACATTAGTGATGTCTGCGGCGATCCTTCTCCCTTGATGAATACGAGGAACTATGATAGTCACGATCTGCATAAAATTAACATTGTCAAGAAGATTCTGGATTTCTGGTGGCATGTTACTAAAGAAAATACACCTGTAGTTCACCATACCTCGAGAAGAGTGACGTTTTGACCTCTCCAGGTGCCCTGCATTGTTTAGATACGTTTAGTAAACGTATTAAACATTAAACATACAATGATAAAGCCTGGGAACAATGGTATAATGGCAAAATTCACAAAGCAATCTGAATATTACCTTTGTCTCTTGAATGATAGCCCCTCCCCTTGGCCCTATCCCTTTCCCTTTCAATATCCTCTCGCTCCCTTTCCCTGTCAGATTCCCTTCCCCTATCACGGTCCCATGACTTTGATCTTTCCTTCTTCCTCTCCCTGCCTCTATCCTTATCCCTGTCTCTGTCCTTATCTTGGTCCTTGGCCTTTTCTCCACCTGCTTCAGCTTTATGCACAGTTATTGATTTTGAACCTGGTTCTTCCTTTGCCTCTCCTTCAGAAGGCACGCTTTTAGACTCTTCATCACTCTTTGATTCCTTTGCCTTCTCAAGAGGAGCCCTGGTTACTGCATCTTTACCAGATTCCTGACTCATTGCTGCAGAAGCCCCCTTTGGAGTACCAGTGTCATCATTTACAGAAGGGCCATTTGATGCCACTTCCTGTAAAGTACAAGAGAGGAAATAGAAATATTGTGATAAATCAGATTGATTCTTAGTATCAGAACTGTGCATCAATTACCAAAAAAATTTCTCGGGTTGACATGGTGAGAACCAAATTACTCCGTATATGTTAACCTCTTTTCAATGAGAACCAAAAATAGAGCATGGATTTTTCTCTGTGGAAATGATATGAGTTTAAACCCTGGTGCTTACTAGCGGAAAGAACACATGACAAAGTAGAAAATTTAAAGCAGATTACAATAGAGGAGGCATTTTGACCTTCGGCACTGGCTGAGAAGGTGAATCCCATAATCTATTTGATGTTGAAAACGAACCACTTTCCTTGCATACAGAAATATACTGTGCCTTTGGAAGATTGTAAAGTTGGGCCAAAACTCGGCAAACTTCGTCAATCCCAGCCTTATCTGCATCAAATGCTTTCCACCATGGAGGATTCTCAGGCAAGGGTATATGAAATCTACGGGCTGCAGCATACACAACTCCACAAGCCACAACTTCACTCTTAAATCTAACACACAGAGTTGTGCGCAAACTGCACAATAAATGGGGAAATGTCAGCAGAATGGAACAAAGAAACACTCGGATAAATAAATAATAATAATAATAATAAAAGAGTAGAAAGTAAAAACAGGAAAAAGAAAATGGAGAAATTATAAAAACCAAGCTAAATGGCTATGAATGGTAATTGGAAAGAAGCTACAAGTTTGCAATTTGGAATTACCGTGCTGTGTCACCTTTTAAAAACTGTCTGTAACCAAAAACCCAAATCTGATGTAGTTGGGATCTCTACATCTATAAAATATAAACTAGTGTTTTACCCGTGCGATGCACGGAAAAAATTATGTTACTACGAATTTGGGTTCCCTAACTATATTACATATTTACACATATTTCTAAATATTTATGAATTTTTTTAAATCTATAAATATAGATATAAACATAAATAATTACATTATACACACACAAGTACACAACCAATCCTTTTATTTTTGATAGGTAAAAACATATAGCCAATATCATACTAATGAATATTAATAGTACTAATAGCAATAACATAATTGATCAACTCAGTATAGTATAAGAGAATCTAGTTTGAGACATTACATCAGGAAACTTCACTAGTTCACAACTTCACGTTGTAATAGGTGAGGAAAATGACATTGAAAAATGCATAAATGTGGAAACATTGCGTACATACAGAGAAAACTATCAGATAACTCCATCACATTGGCTAGATCAGTGGCTGCGTATTATTTTGTATTAGGTTTTTAAAAAATAATAATAAAGCACACGTAAAATTGACGGTAAATGTTGGGGAAGCTCTGAGAGAACATGTGGCAAAAACTAGTAAGAAAAACAGATACCACAAAAACGTTATTAAACATAATACTTCCTTTTATCCCTTCTAAAATATTCAGAATTAACATCTAAATCATGCACAAAACTATGTACTGCTAGTGTCGAGCTGTACTATTTCAAGAAAGAGCATGTGTACTATCACTACTATGTCAGAGCTGCTAGTTTGGATTATACGGAGTACCTGTCATTTGCAAGATTCCATGCTTCCTGTCTCAGTTCATCAGGCATTCCAAGAGTTGCAATATAATTTGATATAAATTTGTGGGGGTGTTCAACATGGCAGATGAAACCCATCTCTTTCAGAAGGTGCCTTTCTGTTCTGATCAAATCTGCCTTCAGATCAACATATTTCTGTCCAGAGAATGAATAACAGGTTTTTAATCTGAAATCAACTCACTTTCAGTTGAAAATACATAAAACCAAAAAGGCAATACAAATAACAACAAAAAGGGACGAACAACTAAACAAATACAGGGCATAGCCTCATCCCCCAGGCCGCTTCCTGGAAAAACAAGAAAATTAATGATAAAAGCAAACCAATATCCACAATGAGAAATTTAATATCTCCCAAATGGTAAAAAAATTGTTCCCTGACTCCTACTTTGTAAAGATTATTCAAAATCTAACCTTTGAAGAGGTGTCCAAATGTTCTATGGTTAAATTCTCCCTCCGACATTCCATTCTGTGGAAAACAATGAGGACCTGCCTGGCTTTTCTAGGACACTCTTCAAGTTTTGAGGCAAGCCACACACAACTAGCAGCAACCCTCTGTACATAGTAAATGCCAAGCCAGAATGAAAATCACAACTTGTGCAACTATTAAACTTGCATAGGTAATTGTTTGCTTTCATATTTGGGAGGAGCAAGGGGCGAAATGAGATATACCTTCACATTAAAACGAGCAAATGACTTCTTGCAGTAAAAGCGGTGGAATAGTACTTGACCAGTGGCCATAACAGCTTGAGGTCTGCAGATAACCACATTAAGGAGGTACATATGCCATGTGTTGATCCATAAAGAAAATAGCATCTGTTACAATAGAAACAACTTACTTGAAGATGCATCATTATCAACAACTGCATAACATAAACAAATATAAAGGATACAGTTTCAACAAAATTCCACTTTCTTGGATAAGATCACATCCATAGATTTGAAGGGTAGTCTCAGTGGCTTCATCTATTCCATCTCTCCGAGAAGGGGAGTTCTTAAGTTGTTCATCTGTTAGGTAAAAAGTGTCGATTGCTGTGTAAATCATAGTTGTTCTGGAGTTCAAGAAGTCTCTATCAACTGCAAACAAGAAAGAAAACAAGCTTTAGATTCCCTTGTTCAGCAACATTACAATTATTGTTGGGAAAAAAAGAAAAGGACTTAGTGAATGAAGTGTGTCAAAAAAAACCCAAACAACGATTTGAAACATGCAATAAAACATTAAGTAGTTTGGATTTGAAGGTGTTCATAGTCTTCACAGTTGGAAGAACACAATCAAATAATGTAGTTTCTACATTTATGTCGTGCATTTTTATCAAGCATCAGGTCTTCAAAGAGGAATTCTTTTAGACAAATTTTCAAACATTTAGTGTGAAGTATTAGAAGAGAGAGCACTTATAGCAAGTTTTCTAAAACATTCCCAACCGCATCTCCTGTGGCCTGCATTGCCAACGGAGGAAAGCACATTAGAAGCTGACAAAATTAATCCAAATACAACCCATGGTGGAGCCAGGATTTATCTTGAGTGGGGGCAAAAAAGCAAAGGGAAAATGTTCAAAAATGTTAAAATACAAATAAAATTGTTAAAATACAAAATAAATTATAAAATTACAATACAAGATTTATGATAAACTACGGGATAATACTCCTCTACTCCTCAATACAAGGCCTTGTACTTGACACTTCGCCACTACCTAGATGAATCCTCTTGATTTTCTTTTAAAGAATTTTTCCATAACTAAACCAAATGTTATTACAACCAAATGTTATTTCAGTTTCTAAGTTCTAACTAAAATAATTACATAAGCAAAAATTAAGCAATGCATTATGCATAAATCAGTCCATCACGGCCAGATATGCATAGTATCATATTCAATTCCTCATATTACATAAGCAAAAACTTTCAACACAGATTACCAATATATCATATATGCATAGTATCATATTCAATTCCTCATATTTTTTTATGCAACACCATAGCTAAATGCCTAAATCACAGATTCACCCTTCACAGAATTCCAATTTCCAAATAAGCATAAATCACCATAGCTAAATCACAGATTCACAGTTCACAGAATTCCAATTTCCAAATAAGCATAAATCAGTCCATCACGGCCATTCACGGCATCAACCGCATCACATAATTACATAAATTAAACCAGCAACAAAGCCAACAAACAAAATTAGGGCAAAACCATAATTAGGGAAATTAAAGAAATTAGGGCAAAAACAAGATTAGGGAAATTAAAGAAATTATGGCAAACAAAAAATTAAAGAAGTTGCTTATTGAGTTATTGAACAAATTATTGTAATTAAGCAAACAATTGAAAAAATTGAACAAGGGGTGAGAAGTTGAACCTGCGCAGTTGGCAAAGCAGAGGCGGTGAGGTGAGGCCTGAGGCAGAAGACGGTGGCCGGTGGCGACTGGAGAGGAAGAGGCGCCGTCTGGTTGACTGTTGACGGTGAGGCAGGCGCAGACGCGAGAGGCCGAGAGCAGAGGCGAGGCGAGAGGAAAAGATGAGAGCAGTCTCTGTCTCGCATAACAAATGAAAAATAAAAAATAAAAAAAATAATAATAAATTATTACAACTGATCCGCCAGTGAATACAACTGATTTAGAAACAAACCAAAAAAAAAAAAAAAATGTAAACATACCTGAGATGGTGCCTGCTGACTCACAGCAAGTCTGCTACTCAGCTACAGGCTGACAATGGCATCTGGTATTCTGTCTAACAAGTTAACAATGCCTTATTGCCTTGAGGTACGTGAGAAATTAGAACACCTAGTTAGGCTTCCGGCCACTTGTTGCTGCGTTTGCTGGTTTAAGGTCAATCACCGATAAAAAAGGTAAATACCTTACTCATTTATACAGTTTAATATCATAGTTTCTAAAAAAACTATCACATTTTAAATTTCTAAAAGACATACTTTCTAACATCAAAATTTTCAATTAGAGATTTAGAGATGCAATTTCTAACAATAACTTTCTAATATAAAAAAATCAAGCAATAAATACTAACAATAATAAATTTCTAATATAAAAAAATCAATAGTTCAATAAAAAACAACAAATTACCTGGTTGTGACTTGTGGAGACTGCCGTCCAGGTTTGAAAGTGGTCTGAGGAACGTCGGCGGGCCGGCAGCAGCAGTTCGCGGTGGACCTGGAGCCTGGCGGTGGTCTGTGGACTATGAGACTGAGGAGTTCGCCAATCGCAGTTGACGGCAGCCTGAGGAATGACGGGCGACGGAAACAGCAGTTCGCCTCTGTGCAGCTGTGCTTAGTGGATCGATCGATAGGTTTTGAAATTTTAGGAATTGGGAATTCACGGGTGTTTTTCTAAAAAAATACTCCATAATATTAAGTATGGCCATATAAACGGCATCGTTTTGTGGATATACTAAAAGGCAGTGTGAGTAATTATATAGTGCACGATGGAGCAGAATACATACGCCTACACCACTAGCTTCAACTGAATAAATTACAATTACCTATACGGCTTCACCCTTAGACCTTAGCTTCAGCCAATTTCTTCCCGCAAATTATGCTATGCAACCGAATGCACCATGTGCATGGTGCATTCTATGCAAACGATATCGTTTTGGTTAAAAAACGCGCGTCCCACTTAAAAAAGAAATCAGGTTCGATTCCCGGCAATAGCATTTTTATATATCCATAAATTTATAATTATATATTCATAAATTCATAACTATATATCCACAAATTCATAACTATATATCCACAGTGAATGAATGAAGTAAAAGTCCACAATGAATGAATTAAATATCCCCAATGAATGAACTAAATATTCACAATGAATAAACTAAATATACATAAATTCATAACTATATATCCAGAAATTCATAATTATATATCTAGAGTGAATGAATGAAGTAAATATCTACAATGAATGAACTAAATATCCACAATGAATGAACTAAATATCCATAAATTCATAACTATATATCCAGAAATTCATAACTATATATCCAAAATTCATAACTATATATCCACAATAATGCTATTGCCGAGAATCGAACCTGATTTTTTTTTTTTAAGTGGGACGCGCATTTTTAGTCAAAACGACGTCGTTTTGCATCGTATGCACCATGCGCATGGTGCATTCGGTTGCACAGTATAACTATTGATTTCTTCCACCATATTTTATCAAGGGGAAAGAGTATAATTTTGTGCAAACATCCTTCCTTTAAATAAAAATAATTTCATGTTGAAAGTCGAGATTCTATTATTGTCAATATCTTCGTGGACTCTTTCTGTATAATTTGTTATCTATTACCAGTGATGTAAAACTCGGCCGCCTAGCCGCCTAGGCGCCCGCCTAGGCGCTAGGCGGCCACTTACCTTGGAGTTTTGGCCTATAGGCGGCCAAAACTCGGTCGGCCGCCTAGGCGGCCGCCTAGGCGGCCTGGGCGGCCGCTAGGCGGCCTAGGCGGCCTGGGCGGCCGCTAGGCGGCCTAGGCGGTCAAACTCGGCCGAGTCGGTCAACTCGGCCAACTCGGCCGAGTCGACCGATTTCGTCCGATTTTGACCGTTTTTGACCAATTTTGACCGATTTTGTCTGATTTTGACTGATTTTGACCGATGTCGTCTTTCATTAATTATTGATTTTAATATTATTATGACATTATGACTTATAAATTATCATTATTTCATTTATTTAGATGTGTTATTTGAGTGAACGTTGAAAACAACCTCATTATAATTGTCGAACTACAAGTCTGTCACTATTTTTTTTAATTTTTTTGGTGCCCGCCTAGCCCCGCCTAGAATCCGCCTAGGCGCCGCCTAGACCGCCTAGGCGCTAGGCGCTGCCCGGCCGCCCGACTAGCGCCTAGCGCCTACTGCAACCTTGTCTATTACACAAAAGCGAAATTTCCCAACGCCTCTATATATATCTTTGTGGCAATTGTCTACCTTACAAATTCTATTTTAATATTTTTGTCATCCTTAAATTTCCTGCTTCATGAATATTTATGTGCTTCAATGCTATTAAAATGTTTGCCTCTTTAATAGCTATTAGCAAATTACTTATAGGGCTAAGGTTATAGGAAAAGTCAGCATCCATAGTAGATGAGATATTTTATAAATTTTGAGTAGTTTTTGTAAGTGTGATTATGAAAGAGAATGTGGAGATGGAGAGAGAAAAAAAAAGAAAAATAATCAAAACAAATTTTTTTAAAAAAAATGGTGTATGCAGTGCACGTGCCCGGAGGCATACAACTCTACAAGAAATCATTCACAAGTTCTTTGTCTGATAAATAAATAAATCGCTGATAAGAATGCTCTTATGCACACTTTGAAAATTAATTTTTCATCCATTCATCAACCATTTTAAGTATATGATTGTATGAATATACAAAATTCATCCTCTTATGTAATATAATTTGAATCTACAAAATTATTAGTAAATACCTGATGGGTAAATACGTACAGAAGATTGATCCGTATAGCCGATCCGTCAAGAAGTCATCCGACCAGTCCGTTATGGTCTTCATCCCGACAAGAATAAATCACTTGTGGTCAACCGTACCGTTCGTACCGATAGGCCTCGTGACAAAAGAAGATGTTTTTGGATCACCATTGGAATCGCCCCGATGGAAAGTCACCCGGCCGGTCTACCGTAGGGTGACCGGTCGGCCTACAAGATGACGTAGCCTGCACAGCCGAAAACGTAACTTACACTGCAAGTTTTTAGGGTCCAACTTGCACTTGCAGAACGACGACTGACAGCTTGCAGGTAGGCCGGCTCTGTCGCCTCGATCAGTCAACCTACGAGTAGCTGCAGAATGACCGTCTGACTAACCTACGAGTAGCTGCAGAGCGACTGTCTGACTGAGCCAACGAGAAGACACCACGTCGATCCGCTTGCAGGTAGGCCGGCTCTGTCGCCTCGATCAGTCAACCTACGAGTAGCTGCAGAATGACCGTCTGACTAACCTACGAGTAGCTGCAGAGCGACTGTCTGACTGAGCCAACGAGAAGACACCACGTCGATCCGCATGCAGCAGGCGCATTAAATGCGTAGACCGACTTAGTTAAGTATAAATAGGAGGGTCTCACCCCTCACTCGGGGGATCCTCATCTTCATCTCATTGTAACTACTACTCACTACTTGTACCCTTCATCCTATAATAGCAACCCGCTTGTAACCTATTACTTACTAGTTGCAATACTACTTAGCCTCGGACCGCTCAGTCGTCGCCCGGTAGTCCGACCGACCGACCGACTGACCGTCGAGCGCTTCATTCTACTCGTTCACAAACATACGTATTCGTAGTGTAACCGTAACCGCCCGGTTCAATTTACGCTATCAATACCATTCAAAACATTGTCCCAAAACTCATGAAACTTAAGTGCATTTTAAATTTTTATTTTGGAATTATGAAAATTAGGATTCAACAAAATCACCTTAGCTGAACAGCAAATTAAATTTCAATTATTCACTTTTCTTAGATTCTTGAACCACACCAAAACAGACAATCACGAGACAAGGCCAAACAGAAGAATATAGGACAAGCATGTGATTGAAGCAATTCAGAAACCCCCATGGAGACCGAGGAGAAGATACAGAGTGCACTCCTTCTGGATGTTATAGTCGGCCAGAGTCCTTCCATCTTCCAGCAGTTTTCCGGCAAAGACCAACCTCTGATGATCTAGTGGAATCCCCTCCTTGTCTTGAATTTTAGCCTTCACGATATCAATTGTATCGGAGCTTTCCACCTCAAGTGTAAAAGTCCTGCCCATGAGAGTCATCACAAAGATCTGCTTTCCACCTCTGAGCCTGAAAATCGAAAATAATCGCAGGAGAAGAACGACCAGGAAAATTGAACGACAAGGAAGAAGGGAGCGGGATCTTATATAGGAGTTTTGGCAGACTCGCCACAAAAACGCTCTTTCGATAAGTGTGAATGCCTCTTCATATACTTAAATTTTCAATAAAATTCATTTACCTTTTTGTATGCTTAAATCATTATTACAAGAGTTAGTGTGAATGATAAATAAATGAATTTTGCTATTCCGTTTCACACAACATAAAGATTGCCTTGTTTGATCATAGTCCTACTATATAATAAAGCCATAAGAATTTGGCCAATCACATTGCTTCATTTTCCCGCTCACTAAAACTACGCCGTTTTGGAGTATATTCATTGTGCTGTTACAGATTTCTTTTTCATTTTGCATTAACACTAATGCACCGCCGTTTTGGATTCCGAAGCTTAGAAGATATAAAAATTAATTATTTTATTGATTGTGTACTCATTGGAAATTGTTCCACCGTTTAAATTCAATACATACATCTCAAATAGAAAAGATATTAAATGAAAAATAAATATAAAAGTATTAAAAGATACCAGATAATTACTTGCTTTCAAAAAAAAAAATACAAGATAATTAACGGTTGAGTCTTTTTAGAACTCTAAAGCCTGCATACGTCTCCTATAAATTCATATACAAACATTCAACAGTTCGCCATTCACTCTCTGCTTTTTTGTTATTTCTTTGATCTGAAAAATGTGAAATGTCTCAATTGTTCATCTTAGGGTAAGACATGCCCAGATTATACAAAAAAAGGCTATACAGTTAAGGTTTGTAAGAGCATACATAGTCCTTGAAGGTAGAAACATGAATGTCATCAGGAGTCAAGAATGTCTTTTCTTTGACTGTGAAGTAATATTCTGTGTACCTATTTTTTTTATTGGGCTCCTAGGTGTATGGAAATATTCCGAAAGACTATGTGCCAAAGTTTACCTATGTGTTAAATTGGTAAAGTGTATGTAGTACTAATGGTACTTAAGATTTTTTTTCTATTTGTCATTATATATTCCAGTATATGTGTTAAGTTGTTTATTGGTGTTGATGTTGCTGTTATTGTTTTAATGGAATGAGGTTATTCTATTGGAACCCAGTTCATTGTTAGTGAACTGAAGAGGACTCTACAAATGCGGTTCAAATGGACTTCTAATGCACTGCAATTCCAAGGATTCTCCTATAGCAGTGGACAAAGAGAACTGCACTGAGGGAGTATTGAGGGAGTAGCCTTGTGATTACTAAGGATGGATATTTAGTCAAAGAGTTTAGTATTGGTCATTTCAGTATTTAATTCAATTATTCAAACATTAGTATTTGTACTAAAAAACAAAAAAAAAAAAACAAAAATAATGGGTTACCTGCTTTAATTAGTTTTCTCATCCACTAAGTTGGAAGAACTGATGTAAAAAATATAATCTAAAGTTTAAAATCACTAAGTTTATATTTTACAAACTTAGAAGAATGTTTTCAAGTCAAAATATAACAATTGATTACATTAAGTTTATAGCAATTACAGTTTCAAAGCAAAAGTATTAATTCAAAATGAATTGCCAATTGTAATCTATGTAAAAAGATACAAATAGATGTAATATATAAGAAATCTGGAAAACGGCATGGTTTTAAAGAAATTTGGTTTGAAAAGAATTAAAGAAATAAGGCATCAGAATTAATGATTCTTCACGTGCTTAAAAAAAACTGCATGAACTTATGCTTATTTTTACTGTAAACAAAGATTTTTGGGGCACCTATTTCATATTTCAAATAGTGATAAAAATTACAGATCATTTACTTTAACATGACATCAGAATGGATGATTCTTCATCTACATAAAAATTGTATTGACATATGCATATTTTGACTATAAACAAAATTTTTTGTTGCAACTATTTGAAATAACCATTATTAATCTACATAACGTTAACCAATGAGAAAACATGGGAAACATTATTAAATGAGATAAAAAAAAAAGTAGCTTACATTGTTAATTTCAATGCTAATTATTAGGTTTCATGCTATCTTGAATGAAATAATTAATGCTATACATCTTTTAACACTCAATAACAAAAAGCTCTTCTGGGCAGTGGGATAGTAAGCATGAGGAATTCTTCTTTAATTTGCTAGAACTTATATAGCTTATTTCCTTTTTGATGCTTGCCTTGATTTGTATGTAGACATAGATATATACAGTTCTGTCTCCCTGAACATTATAAATAAACCAATTAGATAAAACCCTAAGTAATAACTTCCATCTAATATGAATAAGAACGAATTATGTCAACCAATACTTACCTTAGTTACGATTCAGTTTGATAGAGAATCAGATTCACCATCTATATTTACCCAAATCGAACAGGTAAACGTTAAGATAAAAACCCTAATTTCTTGCTTAGGTATGGTTTCAATAACAAGCAATCTTCTCAAAAAATAAACAAACGAAGATATCAATCTAAGAAAAAAGTGGTAGTTAACTTAGCTTAGAGACGATTTTGCTAATTACGGCTATAATCTCCATCTACAACATCAACCACTGAAATTGCCTTAAAATTACCATTCAAAGCGAAGATCAGTGAACTATATTTTGAATGTTGGAGCTGCAAACCCCAAAATTCCTCTGAAAAATAGACCGCACCTAGGGTTTCAGTACACACCCTTGATCTCATGCATGCGGTTTGGATCACCTCGACCAGACCTCAACATCAAGGTGAAATGCAAGAACGAAATCATAGGTTTAAGCTTCAATGTTCAATCGATCATGAACCAGTGATTAAGTGAGAGATAAAGAGAGAACTCAAGAACAACTAAGATCAGGCGAGGAATAGAGTATATGGTCGAGGTGAGTACGCGTTGGGATCGAGATTGTTGTGGGGTCTTGGACTGATCCACTTCAAACATTTGGGTCTGATCTCTCATTGTAATATTAATTGTAATTGGACTTTAGATTTGTTACAAATAATAGGTGTTTATTATTATTTATTGTTACATATGATAATAATACAAATTTTTATACAAATAATTGTTATATGTTTGTTTTTCTTAATACTTTCTACCTTCTTTTTTTTTTTACATTGAATATAATACTATGTTGATTATAGTTCCAAAGAAAGCAATAATTCTTATATTATAATATACGATGACAATAAATAAAAATAAGATCAAATACTATCAAACGTGATTTTATTTTTGAAATTGTCGATTTTTAATCATGGTCAAATATATATAGCAGTGTCAAGAGTTAGTAATTTTAAGAGATTACAAATTTTTATTTGTCACGAAAATGTAACATCACTACTAATGTCTTATACAAAGAAGTATTCAAAGAAGTATTACTCCTTATCATCACCTTTTTTTATTATATGATACTGTATATTCTATTTATTACATATATAGCCGTGCATCGCACGGTACAAATACTAGTTTTGTTAAGGGGATTCTTATTGAGAGATTGAAACGTCTTTAACGCTCCAATCAATCCAAATTATGCCAATACTCATGAACCTTAACTGCATTTTTAAATTTCTATTTTGGATACATCACACAATTATGAAAATTACAATTCAACAAAATCACCTTAGTTGGACAGCAAATTAAACTTCAATTATTCACTTTTCTTGATACTTAAACCACCAAAACAGACCATCATCACACTTGACAATCACAAGACAGACACATTCAAAAGACCAAACAGAACAACAGATGACAAACATGGCAACGAAGCAATTCAGAAACCCCCACGGAGACGGAGGACAAGATGCAGAGTAGACTCCTTCTGGATGTTATAGTCGGCCAGAGTCCTTCCATCTTCCAGCTGTTTTCCGGCAAAGATCAACCTCTGCTGATCCGGTGGAATCCCCTCCTTGTCTTGAATTTTAGCCTTCACGTTGTCAATTGTGTCGGAGCTTTCCACCTCCAGGGTAATAGTCTTGCCCGTCAGGGTCTTCACGAAGATCTGCATTCCACCCCTGAGCCTGAGCACCAAGTGAAGGGTGGACTCCTTCTGGATGTTGTAGTCGGCAAGAGTACGGCCATCCTCAAGCTGCTTGCCAGCGAAGATGAGCCTCTGTTGGTCAGGAGGGATGCCTTCCTTGTCCTGGATTTTCGCCTTCACGTTGTCAATCGTATCCGAGCTTTCAACCTCCAAGGTAATGGTCTTGCCGGTGAGGGTCTTAACGAAGATCTGCATACCTCCCCTCAATCGGAGAACCAAATGAAGGGTGGACTCCTTCTGGATATTGTAGTCGGCTAGGGTACGGCCGTCCTCAAGCTGCTTTCCGGCGAAGATAAGCCTCTGCTGGTCTGGGGGGATTCCTTCTTTGTCCTGGATCTTAGCTTTCACGTTGTCAATTGTGTCGGAGCTTTCAACCTCCAAGGTAATAGTCTTGCCGGTGAGGGTCTTAACGAAGATCTGCATACCTCCCCTCAATCGGAGAACCAAGTGAAGGGTGGACTCCTTCTGGATATTGTAGTCGGCTAGGGTACGGCCGTCCTCAAGCTGCTTTCCGGCGAAGATAAGCCTCTGCTGGTCCGGGGGAATTCCCTCCTTGTCCTGGATCTTAGCCTTCACGTTATCAATTGTGTCAGAGCTTTCAACCTCCAAGGTAATAGTCTTGCCGGTTAGGGTTTTCACGAAGATCTGCATACCTCCCCTCAATCGGAGAACCAAATGAAGGGTTGACTCCTTCTGGATATTGTAGTCGGCTAGGGTACGGCCGTCCTCAAGCTGCTTTCCGGCGAAGATCAGCCTCTGTTGGTCTGGGGGAATTCCCTCCTTGTCCTGGATCTTAGCCTTCACGTTATCAATTGTGTCGGAGCTCTCAACCTCCAAGGTAATAGTCTTGCCGGTTAGGGTTTTCACGAAGATCTGCATGCCTCCCCTCAATCGGAGAACCAAATGAAGGGTGGACTCCTTCTGGATATTGTAATCGGCGAGGGTACGACCGTCCTCGAGTTGCTTCCCGGCGAAGATCAGCCTCTGCTGGTCCGGCGGGATGCCCTCCTTATCTTGAATCTTGGCCTTGACGTTGTCGATGGTGTCGGAACTCTCGACCTCGAGAGTAATAGTCTTACCGGTTAGGGTTTTCACAAAGATCTGCATCTGCAATTATATATCAAAAACAAGAATCAAATCAAATCTCTATACAATCCAAGAAACAAACGAAATTTATTGCAGAAATTCAAAGAATCAAACGAAGACGCGATGATTTATTACCTTGAGAAAGAGAATTGAAAATCGAAAATAATCGCAGGAGAAGAGCGAAGAGAAAAATCAGATGATTATGATGAACGAGAAGGAAGAAGGGAGCGGGGTCTATATAGGAGTTTTGGCAGACTCAAGACAAAAACGCTCTTCGGATTAACCTATCAGCAGACGACACGTGTACATTGCGTATTTCAGCGCGTTGAACGAACCTATACGGCAAGCTTGTTTTTATTCTTTCCTTTTGAGTGGCGCAGATGATTAGGAAAATGAGTTGTACCACGCGCCCTTGCGCGGGTGGGTGAGTTAACACCGCCTCTTATTTTGTGGGCAAAAAAGTCAGTAATGGATGGCTACTAGATTCTTCTACATTAATCCAATCAAATTACAAGTCTTCCCCATATACGTAAGAATTACTCCGTATTAATTTACTTTTTTTAAATATAATTAAGCAAGTGGATGGATTTGGTTGTAGAACATTTGGCAAACCTTATCGTAACCTTTGGTTCATAGAAATGTGTGAATTTTGGTTTTCTTTTTGGGTTGAGAGCAGTTGTACCTTGTTTTTCTTGTAGATACGATCATTTTCATGGGCACGTCTAATAATTTTTGTTTAATGATATTTTGTTTTCTATGTTGGGAAAAAGGTAAAGACTTTCTCAACAAATGATAATTAGTAATGAGGGATAATGATTTTAAATAATTGATTGGTTGTATTAGTAATTTATAGAATGAAATTTAATAAAATTAATTATTTATTTAATCTTAAAAGTCAATGACCTATAAGAACATATGCAAAGATTTGAATCCATGACTTCAAAATTACTTATTAATTTTAAATATATTTAATAATTACAACAATTTGATCCAAATTTTGAATAGACACTACTCCAAGGCTATTCTACTTTTTTTAATAAAAAATTATATGATTACAAAACTTCAAAACTATCATTTAATTATTTTCAATTAACCTATACAATCTTTTAAATTTATATATTAAAGACCCTTATTTTTATTTTGTCCCGGACTTATAAAATAATGGACCAACTCTATGTTAGGTACCCCTCACCCTGATTCAAAAAAAAAAATTGCACTTGATAACTTTTGTTTTCTTGGGTATTTTGCAAGTTTTTAAAAATGAAAGATTGTAAGACATGTAAATAAATAATAATAATAATAATTTTTTTCTTGATTTTTTTTATGATATTAATGAAAGAGATAATGATTTGAAAGAGAGATGAAAAAGTAATTTGTTGATTTTTTTGTGGGACCCGCACGAAGAAAAGCTAAAGAAAAAGACGCGCTCCATGTGCATAATCCAGCACCATAGCGCTCAACATGGTGCATCCATTCCTCTGGGCTACCTACTTTTTGTTTTCCTTTATTTTTTTCCTTGATTTTTTTTTTCTCCTCATTTTCTTACCTTTTTTCTCTCCTAGTAATTTTGAAAAAAACTAAGAAAAAACCTCCTTTATTAATGATGTCATAGCTTTTGTCCAACAGTCATTCCTCAAATGTTCGTAAAGATTGAAATTGCTTCTGATTTTAACGGACAAAAGAAAGATCATTTAATTTTAGAGTAAATATCAGCGAAGGTCTCTCGAGTTTGGTAGTTTCACCACCTATAGTCCTTAACTTCCGTAATTATCATCTGTGGTCCTTCGAGTTGCGAAAACTGACCTGCTATCATCCTTTAGTTAGTTCTTGCCGTGTAACCCGTCAAAAACATGGGTAAAAATGTCATTTGGCTCATATAATTCTTTTTTACTTATTTTATTGTCATCTCCTACCGTCTAAGGCTCTAAGTTATCTAAGCCGGCGAGCTAGGCAGCGCTCCTGCCGTCTAAGCCGGCAAGCAGAAGATGGGAAGCAGCGGATCTAGCGACGCTCTCATATCCTTCGGCGACCTCCGTTCCTCCCGGCGAGCAAGGCACGACGGCAAAGATGGATCAGCGGCGAAGGAGCAACGCCGAACGATGACCTTTGTTTCTTTCCGGCGAACAGTTGACGCGAGACGAGCAGATACGGTGGGAGCTAGGGAGATCCGGCGGCGGTTGACGATCGTTGCGACTGAGCAGTGGCTGTCAGCGTGGTGGTGGGTGTTTCCGGCGAACTCTCATCACCAAATTCAACTCATTGTTTTCGTCATCGTATTTTCTTTTCTTGTTGCATTTACTAAGGTAGTTGTTAATGAGGATCCATTTGTGTGTAGAGTTGGTGAGGTTGAGAGGGCTGAAGAGGTTTTCAGAGAGATAGTGATGAGTGGGGTGGAGAGCACCTGTACCACTCCTGAACATCTGATTATTGGGTACTGTAAGGTTGAGAATTTGGATTCTACATTGCTGTTGTACAAGGATTTGTGTCGACTTGAGGATGAAGTCGTTGCCGATTACCTTGTGTAAGGCCTCCATTTGCCCATAATTTCTCCATTCATCATCCTTGTGCTTAATCGTCTTCATTACTTTATCCAACAACGCTTCCTGCTTCTCCATTAGCTTCCTCATTTGCCGGTCAATTAAATCCTTAAACGGCAGGAAAAAAGAATTATATATGCCAAATGACATTTTTACCCCTGCTTTTGACAGTTTAGACGGCAGGAACTAACGGGAGGATGGTAGCAGGTCAATTTTCATAACTCAGAGGACCACGAATAGTAATTACGGAAGTTAAGGACTATAGGTGGTGGAACCACCAAACTCGAGGGACCTTGGCTGGTATTTACTCTATAATTTTATATAAGAAATGATATGATATTAAATGAAATTGATAATTTGTTTTCGGACTATAAGAATGAAAAGTAACTTTTTGAACAAAAAAATTTATCTCAAAAGTCATTAATCAAACATACATTTTTAGGTATTTAATAAAATCAAACAATTAAAGTCAAACATCTATTTTAAAAAGTTATCTACCAAACAATGCCTAATCGAAGTTAACTAAAAAATGTGTGAATCATTATATATATATTTGATGAAGAAGATGAAATCAATCAACCTGAGGACAGTCTCACGGTATAGTTCAGAAAGCGAAAATTACCAATCTTGTCGTTTGTGTGTGTAGAATTTGCTTAATACTTTGATTTTTAGAAAAATTCGCAACCACTATTTGAATGTGTTTTATGTGAGATTTGCTTAATGTTAATGTTGGTATTAACTACTAAGTGTTTAATTGTTCAAAGGTATTACATTGTCTCCAAAACACTAGTTTACTAGCTGAATTTTTTACTTAAAACTTACTTTTAATGGTGATGGATAACCCCGAGTAGGGCACCCAGTCAAGTATACATTATAGTGCTTGGAGCCAGTAGATGGACCGGGTTACCCAAGAGGCGGGAAGGATCCAGTGGCCAGACCCCTTGTTGGGGAGTGGACTGTGTGGGCTAGGCTACCTGCCTCCCGAAAGCGGTCGGGTTGGTATGCCCGACCAATGCCGTGCTCAGAGGCGGTGGAAGGAGATTTTCTAGGGATTTCCTCCGAATTCTGGGTGAGGTTTCCCATTTTAGCATTATGAAAAGGACGTGACAGTTTAGGAAACTTTATTAAGATTAAATTTGTTAATCTTTTTTCTTTTCTTTTAAGGCATGAAATCTTGTATAAATACTCATAGGCACATGAAAAATGTTTGAATTCAATTCTCTTGCAATTACTTCGCCAAATTATATTTTTATTTTTCTTTTAAAATTTGTTTCGGTAATGTTGGCTCGCTGTGTGACTACTCCGTGACGGTAAACCCAACAAATGGTAAGGTAGAAATTTAATTTCTTTCACGAATATGGAGATTTTGAATTTGAATTGAGTTGAATGTAAAATAAAAAAATAAAAAAAGACTTTGCTAGTCAACTGAATCGTTGACTTGGAATTTCCTTAGTTAAGAAAGACCAAATTTCACGTGCTATTTCTGTCCTGACTTCCGCCACTTGAATGCCTCGCCGGAAAATCCTTTCCCCCCATATCAGATACCGGCCACGGCAGCGGATGCTTCATGTGCTGCTTCAGATTGATTCTGACTTCGGGCCTCATGGCCCTCTTCGTCTGGCTTAGTCTCCGCACCACCAAGCCTTCATGCTCCATTAAGGCCGTTTACTTGCCGGGGCTTAACACCTCCGACACTTCGAGATCCAATCACACCCTCTACTTCACTATCAATCTTAAGAACAAGATGAAGGACAAGGGCGTCAGATACGACGACGTTCGCCTCAGCTTCTATTATGGTGCGAACACCAGTGTTCCCATCGGCAATTACACGGTTCCGGGCTTTTACCAGGACAACGGCAACGATGCCGACAAGCTCGGGAAATTGACCGCCCATGGAGTGCCGTGGGATGCGGCTTTCAGGGCGGTTTCGAATGGGTCAAAGGCGGTTTTCCGGATGGATTTACATACCAGGGTGAGGTACAAGATTGTTTTTTGGTACACAAAGAGGCACAACTTTATGGTGGAAAACACCACTGTGGAAGTCGACAACTCCGGTAAGAACTCCGCAACACCACAACACCGTTCCTTTCACGCGGCTGCTATATTTTCCGTCACTTTATTTGTTCTGATTTGGAATAAAATAGCCGAAGATCAGGTGTCTTTTCTCCCAGGGAAGCGGAGACTATACCAGTGAGAGTCACTTTTTTTTTTTTTTTTTTTTTTTTTTTTTTTGGAACCAAAGAGAGAGTCACTTGATTCTTATTGAAATTGATTCTTTTCAAGTTGTTCAAGGCATCTAGTTAAAGGGGATTCTTCATTTCACTTGATTCTTAGGGATATTAAAAACCTTATGAGTTCACTCGTGTTTTTATTTTTTACTAAACTATTTATGAATCTGATAGTCCAATTGTTAATTAAGCAGTCTGTTTTTATGTATGATTAATTAGAGTGGTTCACTCACCTTTCGATCTCCTATTATTTGTAATGTTTTAACTTCTGATCTTATTGAATGAATGCTTAGTTTTATTTAAACAAAAAAAAAAAAAAAAACTTCTTGTCTTTTTCCCTTTCCTTTTCTTCTATTGTATTATTTGAAGGGCAATTCTTTTTTTTTTCCCATTTAAATTGTTTGTTTGGTACTCTGGTTTGCAGATCAAGCACTGAATCTAGTCTGGAAATATGTTCATGGATTGATGTTGACACTTTCTTTTTAAATACGGAGTAATATTTATGGTATTCGCCAATAATTGATGAATTCTTTAGTTGTCCACGATGAATAATATGGATGACCCAGCATGACTAGCTCAGTTGATTCGATTGATTATTTTAATGCATTGTTTTAGTGTAAATAAAGGCTCTTTGTGTGCAAAGTTATTCGATTGACCCCTTATCGTGGAGTGGTGTGTGTGTGGGCTAGGGTGCTTACCACGCGAATGTGGTTGGACTCATATGCCCAATCAAGTGTGTCGGTGCTCAGATGTGGTGGTAGGAGAATTTCTAGGGATTCCCTCTAGATTATGGGTTAGATTTCCCTTTTCAGCATTAGAAAGCAATGCACTTTATGAAGCTTTCTTAAGATCAAATTTGTTAATATTTCTTCATTCAAATATTGTATAAATATCCTTGTGGCACATTGAGAAGTGTTCTGAATTTAATTCTCTTGCAATTACTTGGCAAACTTGCTTTCTTATTTCTCTTTTAAAACTTGTTTTATGGTTTTCTTAGCTGCCGTCCAGCTAGAAGTTTAATTTGTGTCACAAATATGGAGATTTTGAATTTGAATTGAGTTGAATGTAAAAAAATTATGGAATAAAGGTCAAATAGACCCTTCAACTATATACCAAAGTGGAATCAGACACTTGATTTAAAAAATAATAATCCAATTAAACTCTTAAAATTGTTAAATTTGTACAATTGACATATTTGACCTATAATAGCATGTTACTCCAAAGTCACTACCACATAAGATGCCACTTAGATTAACATTTTTAAAAATTTATATTTTTATAAAAATTTAAGGGAAAATTGCATCTTTAGTCCATGAGTTATAACCAAGTTCTGACTCAGTCCCTAAGTTATGACTGTATCCGAGTTTAATCCCCCAATTATGAACGAAGTGGCGAGTTTGGTCTCTAGCGTTAATTTTTCGTCTGCAACTAACGAAAAACTTAAAAACAATTTAATAATAGAAGGGTAAAATATGAATTTCAAATTATAATCCTCTTATTATGTTGACGCAAGAGTCATTCTTTTCTTCTTATACCTACAATCGAATGTCTTTTTCTTCCTCAATATCTGAAATCTCAAATTCGTCCACTTCCAAGCTGCGAAATTCACAGGTAAGTTGTTTCTCTATTTTATATGTTTAAATAGATACGGAGTAATCAATATTCTCCGTATTGATTAACTAATTTAGTTAATTATAAGATGTCATCTCTTAGTTGTGGTACTTCATATTTTCCTCAATTTGGGGGTAATTTTCGATGTAAATATGATGATTTAATACCCATCAAAATATCATGGAGTTATACTAATCGAGGAAAATATACCAAGCTTGTCCATGTTATGGAGCAAATTTTTTGTATTTGCCAAAAAATTGTAATTTAAGTTGTTTTTATTTTTTTTTATTTTTTTATAAATACAATTGAAATATTGAACTTTGATTTTTTAGAAAAACGGGAGTAAGATTATTTGCTGATTACATAAGCAACTTAGGGCTTTTGTCGAGTTAGGGGAAAGTATTTTGGCTAAGTTTTTAAGTTTTATTAAGCAATTTACTTTTTTTACTCATAGAATTAACTTTGTCAACACACCACTAGTGTCAGGGACTAAACTCGCAACTTCTCTCAAAACTGAGAGACTAAAAATGGATACGGTAATAACACAAGGACTGAATCGTCACCACAGTTATAACTCAAGGATCAAACTCGTCATTTTCCCAAAATTTAAATAATAATATTTATTTATGTACAAAATTTAAATTTTAAAAAAAAAAAAACCATGGCAAGCAAGCTGCCATGGCTTCATGTCCATTGCGTCTTGGCTGCCATGGACGAAGAACTTTGGCGGGCTTCTTCGTCATGGACAGAGAAGTCCGCCTTCGCAGCCAAGTTGCATAACAGTCATCTATGGCAGTTTAACTGTCATGGGTGAAGAAGCTTGACGGAAAAGTCCGTGTTTTTTCGTCAGATCGCGTTGGAAAGTTTTTTAAAATTAGTTTTTAAAAATAAGTAGTTAAAAAATATTTCTTTTTGCTAATGACTTTGTAATATAATTGATATGAACTCTTCCAAATGCGAGATTATACAGATACTCTACTGTAACTTGAGCCAGTAGTATATTTTAAATAGGATAGGGTCTAATTGACAGTTTTTTTGAGTTTGAAGTTTTAATTGAATTTTGGTATATAGTTGGAGAGTTTATTTGACCGCTATTTCACAAAAATGATTGGTTTTGCTAGTCAACTCATTCGTTGACTTGAGTTTCTTTAGTTAAGAAGACCAAATTTCACGTGCTATTTCTGTCCCGACTTCCGCCACTTGCATTGCACCTTTATTACATTCTCCTACTCTTCATTTCCGGTTCTTGAAAAACCGGCAGTTTCCTGTCTCGCCGGAAAATCCTTTCTCCCTCCATGTCAGATTCCGGCCACGGCAGCGGATGCTTCAAGTGCTGCTTCAGATTCATTCTGACTTCGGGCCTCACGGCCCTCTTCGTCTGGCTTAGTCTCCGCACCACCAAGCCTTCATGCTCCATTTCGGCCGTTTACTTGCCGGCGCTTAACACCTCCGGCGCTTCAAACGCCACGAGATCCAATCACACCCTCTACTTCACTATCAACCTTAAGAACAAGATGAAGGACAAGGGCGTCAGATACGACGAAGTTCGCCTCAGCTTCTATTATGGTGCGAACACCAGTGTCCCCATCGGCAATTACACGGTTCCGAGCTTTTACCAGGGCCACGGCAAAGATGCCGACAAGCTCGGGAATTTGACCGCCCGTGGAGTGCCGTGGGAGGCGGCTTTCAGGGCGGTTTCGAATGGGTCAAAGCCGGTTTTCCGGATGGATTTATATACCAGGGTGAGGTACAAGATTGTGTTTTGGTACACAAAGAGACACAACTTTATGGTGGAAAACACCACTGTGGAAGTCAACAACTCCGGTAAGAACTCCGGCACACGACAACGCCGTTCCTTCCACGCGCCGGCTATATTTTCCGTCACTTTATTTGTTCTGGTTTTGCTATTGTAACTGGAGTAGAATAGCAAAAGATCAGATTTTTTTTTAACATGTTGTCTTTTTTCCTTTCTTTTTCTTCTCAATTTATGATTGTATTATTTGGAAATTTTGAAGGGTAATTCATTTTTTTCCCATTGAAATTGTTGGTAAGTAGTCTAGAAATATGTTCATAGATTGATGTTGACACATTCTTCTTAAATACTATTTATGGTATTGGTCAATAATGGATGAATTCCTTAGTGGTCCACAATGAATAATAATTTTCTGTATATTCTGGCAAAAGAAAGTGAAGATGAAAGAAAGAAAGAGAGAAATTCAGGATATTGCAACAAAAAATGGTTTTCTCCACCATACCAAGGAAAGAAATACATTAGATTTTCACTCATTCTTAGTTTACAATTCTTGGGAGAATTGCCATTTTCAAGTTTGCCTGTAAGGCGTGCTACTACCTTGTAGTTTTACAAGCGAGTAGTAAGCGCCAGCTAGGGAAAGCAATTCAGAGTGTGATCCCTGCTCTTCGACTATTCCATCCTTGATCACAGCAATGGAGGTAGCTTTCTGTATTGTGGATAGGCGATGAGCCACAACAATGCAGGTTCGACCAGCCATCATCTTCTCCAGTGCTTCTTGAACCAGTCTTTCTGAGATTGTATCGAGAGCGCTGGTTGCTTCATCGAGGAGCAGGATTTTCGGGTTCTTGAGAATCGCACGAGCAATTGCTATTCTTTGCTTCTGGCCTCCCGAGAGCTGTGCTCCCCGTTCTCCACAGTAAGTCTCATATCCATCCTTCATTCCACTGAGATTAATAATGGTAAGATTTTAGTTTATATGATTATATCTACCCTTTTGCATGATATAATAGACTGTTTTTTTATTTTTATGTGTTACCTTATGAACTCGTGTGCATTTGCAAGAATAGCAGCCTTTCTGATCTCAGCTTCCTTTGCATTCTTTTTGCCATATGCAATGTTTTCGTAGATAGTTCCTGCAAATAAGGTAGGTTCTTGGCTAACTAATGCTATACGTGACCTTAATTTCCTCAAATTGTAGTCCTTGATGTCTCTTCCGTCGATATAAACTGCTCCTCTAAGTGGATCGTAAAACCTCTCTATCAGCCCTATAATGGATGATTTGCCAGAACCGCTTTGCCCGACCAGTGCTACTGTAGTCCCCGGGCTAATTTTAAGGCTAAGGCCTTTGAAAATCAGCTGGTCGGGTCTTGTTGGGTAAGCGAAGAACACTTTCTTGAACTCGACTCGACCCATAAACTCTGCCTTCTTTGCATCAACTCCCACCGAGCTGTCTGGTTTAATCTCGGATTCTCTATCCAGGATAGCGAATACTGAGCGGACAGCGTCGCTTCCTCGGGATATATCCTTGGTCATGCTTCCTGCTTCGGCGATTGTGTAGGCAGTGAAAAGCAGTGCGAGAAAGGCTCTAAAGAGTCTCTCGGGGGATATTTCTCCTTGTGTTAGTAGCTTTCCACCGTACCAGTAGGCTAAAGCTGTAGAAGCTGTGGCGAGAAATTGGGAGCTGAATAGCCCCATCCCCGCAAACCAGGATTGCCGGATACTTTCCTTTCTTGGCTCCTCTAATGTTGCTTTAAACAGGCCAACGATTCGTTTCTGGGATGAGAAAGCGGTTATAGTTCTATGGTTAACCACTGCTTCACTTGCTAATTGGCTTCCTTCCCTTTGTGCTTTCTGTGCTTTTCCAGACATACTCTTCATTAGTACACTTCTCGCGTAAAAGCTTCCGATGAGCAAAGGCTGAGCTGCCATCATCACGAGGGCGAGTTTCCACGATAGGAAGAGGCCTAAAGTGTAAGCAAAGGTGGCTGCGAAGATGGCTTGAACTAGCAGTGACATCCGGTCTCCTACGAGGGAACGAACCATGTTAGCTTCGGTTGAAACCCGAGCACATATGGCTGCACTTGTGTTCTCGTCTTGGTCGAACCATCCAATCTCGAAGGTCATTAGTTTCTCGAGTATCTTCTCCCGAACCCTCTTGGTTAGTTTTTCCCCCATGACTGCGAAACTGTAGTGTTGGAGAACATTAGTGACCATGTTGAAAACCCCGAGGCCTATGAAAACGTAAGTATAGTTCCTTGCGTGAGATTGGATGGTGGATTTGTCAGTTCGGAAGTAAACTGCGATAAGACCCCCAACGCAGTATGCATTTATGGGCTGTACTGCTCCCGAGCCAATCGCTCCAATGCATCCAAGCAGGGCTCGAGGCCACTCGGGGGCATTCATTTTCAGCAAACGCCACTGTGAAGGAGCAGGATAAGCCGGTTCTTTTCTGTCCTCATCGTCGCTTCCAAACGAATCTTCGTATTGCACCGAGTAGGGAGCGGAATATATCCCGCTGTGTGGAATTACTGGGCTCATGGAAAGCGCGGGGCTAAATGGATACATAACAGGAGTGCTGGCTGCACTTGATCTCACACTCAGTGGACTAGAAGGTACGCTCATTTTATGGCGTCTTTTCTTATCAATCTTTTGGCTATGGCGACTCGGAGTAGCCTCGTTTTGAATACCTGATTGCTGCATTCTCACCATATTGTAGTACTCTCCATCGTTCATCTCCATAAGGTGTGCATGTGAACCAGATTCGACTACCTTCCCGTGTTGAAGAACCATTATTAGATTCGCCATTCGAATTGTGGATAGACGATGTGCTATGACTATTGCAGTCCTCCCGATGGATGCGTGATCGATTGCCTCTTGTACAATTCTTTCAGATTCGGCATCCAGGGCACTCGTGGCTTCATCTAACAGCAAGATCCTCGGGTCTCGGATCAAAGCTCTTGCAATGGCTATTCTCTGCTTTTGGCCTCCAGATAATTGGAACCCGAATTGTCCAACCTGTTAGACATTTTGTTAACAACTTCAGACTGTTAAGAGTCCCACATTGAAAAAATAAGAGAGAATATATGGGTTTATAAGGCCATGTGTTAGATTAGCTAATTTACTGGATTCAATCTTTTAGTGTGGTTTTGCCCATGTGCATTTAGCCCGAACTTACATTAGTTTCATAAGCATCTGGTAGCTTGATGATGAAGTCATGTGCATTTGCAGCCTGGGCTGCTCTCTCTACATCTTCCATTGATGCATCTTCCTTGCCAAAAAGTATATTATCTTTAATGGATGTTGCGAAAAGGATTGGCTCTTGGTTAACAAGTCCCATTTGGGATCTCAGCCATTTAAGATGCAGTCTCTTTATCTTGTATCCATCCAGGTAAATATCGCCTTCGATGGGATCATAGAATCTTTGGAGCAATGAAATGACGGTGGACTTGCCCGAGCCACTGCCCCCAACAATACCCACGGTTTTCCCAGCCGGGATCGTGGCATCCAGCCCTTGCAGGACAGGAGTATCGGGCCTCGAGGGGTAACTGAAATATACACCTTTGAACTGAATTTCTCCCCTCACATATGACAGTGCTTTCCCCTTCTTGTCTTCAGTGTCTATGGCTGGATCGCGATCAATCATCTCAGAAATCCGAACAGAAGCCGCCTTTGATTCTGTTATCGCGGTGAGATTTGGAAGAGCTGTCAAGATATTTCTGCAATCACAATCTGGTCAGCCAAATATAATGGGATCTTATCATAGTGCAGTGTGAAGTTACTTACAGTCCCGCCATAAGAACGTTGAATCCCGCCACGAAAATATCACCGCCCTTTTCGCCCTTCTTACTGACCAGAAGAGATCCAAGCCATGCTTGAAAACCCCAGCTGATATAAATGACTCCAAAGCTTCCCATCATTAGTCCTCTTGCAAAGCCTTGCTTAATCCCCAGCTCTATTACTTTTTGTAGTGCTTGGCTGAACTTCTCGAGAGTTTGGTGCTCAGCAGCATAGGAATATACAGTTCTTATAGATGAAATCGCCTGCTCTGCAATCCCGCCAGCAACCCCATAGGACTCGATCGCCTGCATCCCCACTTTCATCATCATTGTCCCGAATCCAAGCCCCGGGACGATGAACATCATGGTGAATGGTATAGCTGCCAATGTGAGTTTCCATGAGAGCACAAAGGCAAATATGAAGCAGAAGAAGAAGGAAGATAGATAGGCCAGGCAATCAGGTATCTGTACCAAAAGGACAACACATTCTCATAAGAAGAAGGGTACATGACAGAAGTAACCTCTAGCCAAACATTAAAAAAGATACGCATTCTTATGCAATTTAGCCAAACTGGTCAGACTGTTAGCAACCACAAGGTTACAAGTTCGACTCCTAGCAGGAGTGACCTATCAGCCTTCTTTGGTTTGAGCCAGTAAACTATGGGCAACCCAGACTGGTCTACCTATTTGTGATCCTTTGCCGGTTTGAGCCAGTAAACTATGGGCAACCCAGACTGGTTTACCTATCTGTGATCCTTTGCCGGTTTGAGCCAATAAACTATGGGCAACCCAGACTGGTTTACCTATTTGTGATCCTTTGCCGACTAGGGCCACAAGACTGAAGTTACCCCATTCACACCCTATGGGTTTCCCCCGTCACTCAAAAATTGTTTAGTTTTCTTTGATTGTGGCAAGAAGTGTACAATACCTTTTCGCCTATAGTGACTTGGATTGTATTGGAATCAGCAGAAATGGTTGAAATAACTTGAAAGGTTGTGGAAGACTCAGCAGCTTGTGTGTCAAAGAACCCAACTTCTTGTTTAAGTACAGCTTTAAGGTATTCTAATCTCATCCTTGATGTCTGCCTTTCAGCTGTTCTTGCCCAGCACAGCCCTTCTGTAAAACGTTAACACAAACAGATCAGATGATCGAAAACATGTTTTTTGATGTAACCATGAAAAAACAGCACTTGTAAACATGAAGTATACCAACAAAAGCAGATAGTCCAACCAATATAGCGACGTAAAGTAGCCTGAGTGAAAACTGCAACATTAAGAGCAAAAACATTAAGAATTGAAACAGCATTAATTGTGGGGAGGGGAGAAAATGATGTTTGGTTTCTTTAGCCTAATTAACCTTGTTAACAGTCTGCATAGAGACTGCACTGTCGAGACTTCCATACTCATTAATCACGTCGCTAAGAACATACATCATGAGAGGAATCTGCAGGCCATCTCCTATGCTCCCCAGTGTTCCAAAACACATAAACAGCTTGTCCACTCTATCTGCATATCTGAACATGCCATTATCCCCTTTTTTCTTCTCCATTATATTATATTTTCCTATGAAATTAAGGGCTAATTCTCAACTGTACTGCTCTTTCTTCATGCACATGAAGCCATTAATCACCTTTCACTTAATTATATGCACTTTGGCTAATAAACTGGATTGGCTGACATGCAGGCCAGCTGTTAGCTAGCTGCTAAGTGCTAAACACTTGATTATATTAGTAATTTAGTATATATAGTCATATAGAAATCTCCAAAAATGTTCTCTTTCTAGCCGGCTCCTAACCTTGACCCTGTCTGTTTCTTACAACAAATCCATTTCATCTTACTATACTTTTTTTTTTTTCTTTTGGGTTACGAGGGAAACTCGTAGCCACTAACCGAGGGTATGCACTAGGTGAACCTCGCCTATGACCTTAACTAACAAAGGACCGGTAATCCAACCTAAACTGTCCATAGCTGAATGACTCAAACTAAGAAGACCAATAGGTCACTCCCACTAGAAGTCGAACTTGGAACCTTGTAATTAATAAGGTAAAAGCTCGACCAACTTGGCTGCAGTTGTCTCCGAGGGTATGCACTAGGTGAACCCCGCCTATGATCTTAACCAGCAAAGGACCGGTAAACTAACCTAAGCTGCTTATTGCTAAATGAGTCAAACTAAGAAGACCAATAGGTTACTCCCACTGGGAGTTGAACTTGAAACCTTGTAATTAATAAGTTAACTCGACCAGCTTGGACTGCAGTTGCCGCCAAATGTGTTGGTTGGTGTGATTGTAATTTTTTATTTTCATCTCACTATTCTTGATAGATCGGAATCTGGGTGATGAGTCTTTGGAAGAAAGTTTTGATTTTAAGCAGTTGGTCGTATTGAGAAAATGGAATTCTATACGGCAATTTGCATTATATTCTTGTTGTGTCTCCATTCTCGATAACAAGCTAAGCTAGCTAACTTCGTCAAGCTATAATAAAATAATGCCATGGCGGATTGCGAGTTGCAACGCTGCCACCGAGAAGAACAAACAGAATAGTATGTGGAGAATTTGACTTACGAGGGGCAGAAGAATCATAATGTTGCTATCATCTGTCAACGTTAAATATAATTGCTGTTTAATTTGTCTCATGTTTTCGTACTATATATAACTTCAATTATGATATATAGCGTTTTTATTGTTTTTTTTTCAGACTCCAGTGTTACGACGCGTTCGTTTGTTGTACTGGGTCATATATGGCCGGATCGGATACGTTCTTATGTTTGTATGTTTTAATGCCATCAATTCAACACTGCATAAACAATGAATCAAAGATGAGGCATGATGATTAGATAGATTTGTGTCATGAAAGATTATTATGTTGGATAGGAGCAAATTTTAATTTACTACTATAGGGACCAGGTTCATATTGTATTATGAATTTTGATTCAAAAATTATGTGTCTGCTAGTAACACATTCTGTACATGTAAACAAATTGAAGCACATAACATAATAACTACAGACACATAAATTGTTAATAACATGATAACTAAACAGACACATAAATTGTTAACTACAGACACGTAACATGTTAACCAACATCTTATGTATCTGCAGTTAACATATTCTCTACATGCAGTTAACAATTTATGTGTGTAGTTATCATGTTATGTGTTTGTAATTACCATGTGATGTCCCTTCAATTTGTCTGCAGTAGTAATATATATACATATGTTTAAGTGTATATACATATGTTTAAAATGCATCCCAAAATATACATGGTGTGAGTGGTGAGGGTGCAGGGTGGGGTGGAGACAATAAATCCAAATCCTGCTATGGTACTGGGGGAATTATGACCTAAGCATATGTACACAAGTTCTCAGTATGTAGAGAACAGAAAAATATACATGAAACAGAAATGCAGTTGAAATTGGAGAAGCATGTCATGTAATGGTGGCATGTACAGACCTCAAATGGTCATAGCAATCATCACTTGTAGCAAAGAACTCCAAACAAACCCAGCAAACATGTTTCCCACACTTGCACTCAATGTGATTGCAGCCGTCCACCTTCTCGATTGTCAACGAGCAGTCGGGGCAATTCTTCACGTTCTCTTTTCCCTTTTTCCATGCTTTCAGAGAGTTGTAGTCTGGGTCGTCTTTAATCTCACGGTACTTGACACAAGAAATGAATGGATGATACTCAAGGTGGCAGCTCGTACATGTTTCTGCATAACATGCACCACAGATGAATGGTTCCCCGGTAGTGCCTGGATCAGCAGCACGATAAACTGAAGGGCAGTCAGGCGATGGGCAAAACCTGTAAGAACCTCCGCTTGCTGCCACGAAAGCCCCTAATGATGCCCTGAAAAGCTCCTCCAGTTTTTCAATTGATAACAGAGACTTCAAGTCAGCAATCAGGATTGGAGCCTTACAACCTTTATGCATACAGCACATGGGGAAACCTTCTCTGCTTCTGATGGCAGACTCACACTGCTCCACCAAGCATGATCGGCAGAAGTCATGGAAACAGTTTTCTAACTTGAAACTCTCCTCCACCTCACACAAGCAAATTGGGCAGTCAGTTTCATCATCACTCCTTTGTTTCTGCAGACTACTTGCTTGGGCCATCTCATAAATTACGTCTTCAACTTTTTGCTTCACTTCTTTGGGACCACTGATAGAGATACAATGCTGTTTGACATTTAGAGAGAAGTTACCCTCAGGAAACATTTGCTTGATCCCATTAAGGTCTGCTCCAAACCTCTGAACCACTCTCTTCATCAGATTTGGGGGCAAAGCTTCTCCACGAAGATGGACTTCAAGTTGCTTGCTTTCATGAAGTGACAGAAGCAAATCCACAAATTTCTTCTCTGCCATATCAATCTTGTTTGAAGAACCAAAGATTCTCAACGTATGGGTATGCCTGTCAAAAAGAATATAGGTTCCTGTCTCCTGCTGAATTGACTTCATAAGAAAGATCCCTTCCCGAGAAAATAAATGCTGCAGAACTGTTGGAGTAATGCCACCATGATCTATTATTTTCCCTTTCATAAGCTGCTCAAATGGTTTTCTCACTTCTGCCACAAGTTTCGTGGCACCAGCAGATATGGTAACTCTATAGGAACCATTCTCATTCCTACGAAGATTGCACTCAACACCTGCAAACAGTTGAAGTATTGTCAGCTGCCAATTATACATTATTCATTTGCAAAACTTGAAATATTGTTTCAGCAAAGTTATAATTCATTCAGCACAAATGAAGGGGACTTTCTAGTGCTACAGAATAGTAATTTCCAAGAAAACATAAACCTTAATCTTCATCCATGACAGACAACAAAAATGGAGTCCTTGCAAAGTGCAACTTTACCATTTAAAGTTATTAGAACCAATACATTAGATGGGCACATGAGGGGTGGAATAATCATACATTCTTTTGATTAAACAATAGGAACAAAAACCAGGAAGTAATATGTACAGCATAAAGCACATTGCACCAGGCACTTCCTGGGTGGGGGTGGGTTTCATCATTCTTTCATAACAAGGAGGAAATCACCCATATTTTGAGAAATTATACTGAGGTTAGGTAGTTAAAATGACAATGTGAATTAGTTACTATAAATCAGCTAATGCACCTAAATGTGAATTATTTGTTTGAGAAGCCAACTGAAAAATGACAATGCACATACATAAATCAGCCTAATCAAAAACAAATAAGGAATTGATTGTGAAGTACTATTAAGATAGATAAATTAGTTAATGCACCTAAAATTGATTTATTTGGTTCAGAACCCAACTGAGAAAAGACAATGCACACATATAAATGAGCTTAGTTAGGAACAAATATGGAGTTGGTTGTAACAAATACCCTTTCTATGACGGAAGCTTGCAAGTAAAGTATCCAGCTGATTCTTAATAACATGATATACTGCTGCAAGACAGGACACAGAACTAGAAAACAATTGCTGGCATTCTATCTTCTGCCATGAAAGACATCCAGGCAATACTTTCCCATTCATTTCTTCCAGTGCTCTTGCAGCTTCTAGATATAGACTTCCATCGAATGTTATAGCTGCTTTCATGTAATAATCCGTTGGTCCAGGATGGAAGACCTGGACACGAGTAGAGTTACCATAGGGGTTCCTTTTAGGCATGAAGAAAGATATTTCTCTTAGAAGTGCTTCTTCACAAGCAACTAATGGAGGACCTTCTACACTATTTCCTCTTAGTAGGAACAAATCCAAAATTTTTCTGTCTGTCACTGGAGTTAACACCTCACAAATCTCAGCTTCAGAAAGCTCACTATCAAGTTCCGTAATCACTATGTTGTCAGGATATTTGATGCTTGGTTCACATTGAACTCTGTTTCCTCCTATTAGAACACTAGAGAAGTCATCAACCATAATAGCAATATCCTTTGGGTGACATGTCACAATAGCTACCCCTGTACTGGATCTGCGAGGCCAACGCACTTTTGCTTTGAGCAAATGAGATGAGATCATATTTTGATCACCATCATACATGGTCTTGGAAGGAACTACTTTGACCATGCCACCACTAAGTGGGCCAGAGTTTAGTGCAGAAGCACGCTTAGCAGCGTTGGGGGTAACAAATGTTACCCTGCCCCATCTCTCCATCTCCCCACTATCTTGTCCCACACCTGAGGACCTGTGGACCACACAAATGTCACCCGCATTCCTTTCCAGAAACATCAACAATTCTTTGTCATCAAATGAATTTCCCTTTGAAAGAAATA